ACCACAGGGACTCTGGGGACCCCCAATCCAGCCCCAGGCCCTGCCAGAGCCCTTGATGACCCTAGGGCATGCACACCAAGGCCGAGATTGGTGGATACACTGACACACACCCAGCTTGTCCACACACGTGTGCAAGTGTAGAGTCATGAGCCTGCAGCACTCAAACACGGGCCCAGCGATGTACTTTAGGCGCACAGGCAGATGGCCCCGCAGTCAGACACGGGCACAGTGGCAGCATTGCTGAGGGAACCAGACAGAGCCTGGTGGGTGAGGGTGGTAGGGTTCAGGGTGTCTTGCTGCTGGAGGAACACAATGTCTGGGGCCATTTGCCCGCTCCATCAGCACCAGGCCCCCTGGTGCTGCAGAGTGAAGGGTCAGACAGAGGTTCCACAGCCACTCCAGCACCATGCAGTGGCCCATTGCCTGGTGCCTGTACTCCCCCGCCCATGGCATTCTCAGAGCCCTGCCCACAGTCCCTCCACCACTGGGTACTCTCCTCACCTCTGGGATGTCTTTCAGGGTGCTCCCTCTAGTCTTTCACTGGGGCTCAGCTTCTATACTTACCCCCAGTGTAGGGGACCAAGGCTTGCAGAGCCCCTGGTTCAGACAATAGGGGCGAGGCCTGGCCCAGAGTCTCAGGCCAGTTTGGGGACTTCAGGCCTGAGGTTCCCCCTGTCCCAGAGCTTAGAAGCAGGGCTGCTCAGGTGTTCTGGAAAACTATCTGGCTGGTGTCCGGACTGAAGGGCAGAACTGACAGAGGGCTAAAGTTCTGGAGGCTAAGCCCCTCCTAGGCCTGGGGCAGCAGGTGCCCCAAGAGCTGTAACTGCCGTGTGAGGTTGATCTCTGGATGGTGGGGAGGACCTGGAAAGAAGCTCTCCTGTTGGGGGAGTGGAGAGGGAGTAAGGCCAATGTCTCCTCCAAGCTATCGTCTCTCATCTGGGCAAGAGGCATCCCATTCTGTTCAAAGGGACAGGAACTCATGACTCCCCTGTGGTGAAGCAGGACCGAGGGCCTGGGTTTCCCATTCCCAGTCCTTGACTCTTGGAGGACAGGACATAGCTAGGCCTGCCCTCCTTGCCACGTCCACTCCAGGCCTGGGAGACCCTGGCCCTGTGCCCACACCTGCTTCATCAGGAACAGCCAGAACCAGGAGGAAAGTTTGCCCTGGTCTTATTCCCTTTCAGTGGCAATGTTATCAACCCAGACCTTGGGAAAAGATGGTGGTGGTTTAGTCTCTAAGTCATGTCCAACTCTTGCAACCCCATGGGAACCCCCCAGGTTCCTCTGTCCATGGGATTTCCCAGGCAAGAATATTGGCTGCTGCTGTTGCTGCTAACTCGCTTCAGTCGTGTCCGACTCTGTGCGACCCCATAGACGGCAGCCCACCATGCTCCCCCGTCCCTGGGATTCTCCAGGCAAGAACACTGGAGTGGGTTGCCATTTCCTTCTCCAGTGCATGAAAGTGAAAAGTGAAAGTGAAGTCGCTCAATCGTGTCCAACTCAGTGACCCCATGGACTGCAGCCCATTAGGCTCCTCCATCCATGGGATTTTCCAGGCAAGAGTACTGGAGTGGGTTGTCATTTCTTTCTCCTGGGGATCTTCCCAACTGAGGAATCAACCCTGGGTTTCCTGCATTGCAGGCGGATTCTTTACCAACTGATTCTTTATGAGGGAAGTCAGGAAAAGATGAGGCTCCCAGGTTGGCAGGGTTGGGGCCAAGCAACTCAGGGAGGATTGTGCCTTGGGCTCAAAGTGTCAGAGGGAAACTAGGAGCCTCAGACTGAGCACAGGGCAGCCCGTCCATGAGGACTGGGCCTCCAGCTTTGCCTACCACCTGCCTTTCCCCTACTCCAGGCGTGGGGCAAGGCCCCTCCCCTTCCCCACACCCTACCGCGCTTCCGGGGACCTCCTCCACCTCACAGCAGGGCCTGCTCATACCCACCATCCCTTCACTCACTGTACAGGGAGAGAACAAGACACACTTTGTGTACTGGTTCTCTATCACTGCAGTAACAAATTTCTACACACTTGGTGGCTTAAAACACCACGAAGTTATCACTAAACAGTTGCATTGTTTAGCAGTCTGACACAGGTCTCCCCAGGATAAAACTGAGGTGTTGGCAGGGCTGCGTTCTGTTACGGAGGCTCTAGAATAGGATCTGTTTCCTTGCCTCTTCCAGTTTCTAGAGGCTGCCCACATTCCATGGCTGGTAGCCCCATTTATCTTTAAAGGCAGAAAAATCACCTCTCTCTGACCTTCCTTCCTTCATCACAGCTCTCTGATCTTAGCCAGGAAAGTTCTCCACTTTTAAGGACTCATGATTAGATTGGGGCCACTGGCTAATCTCATTTCAAAATTCTTAAACTTAATTAAATCTGCAACATCCCTTTCTTACCAAGTAGGTAATATAGTCACAGGTTCCAGAGAATAGGCTGTGGACAACTTTGGGAGACCGTTACCCTGCCCACCACACCTGTGGTCTGGCCAGAGACCACTGAAGCTCAGAGAAAGAACAATGATGAGCTGAACTGGAGGCAGGAAGCTGGTATGTGGGGCCTTTCCTCCTCATTAGGACCAGGTGGTGAGTGGGTGGTAGTTTTGGGGTGCCCAGTTTTAAGAGAGTATCACAGTTTCCACCAGGGCTCCACAATCCAGTCTCCCTTCTAGCAGGATGGGGCACTGGGTTGAAAGTCTGCCCAGGAATCCACTTCAGGCTCTCAAGTGGCTGGTCACACCCTTTTTTTAGTTTGGACTCAGAGAACTTCCCCCTCTGCCTAACCAAGCAGCCTTTCTCAGGACCAGAGTCCCTCCATTAGATCTTCTCCCATGCTCCTGTGTTCCTGAGCAGCCCAGAGGACACCACCCTGAGGGTGGGTCTCTCTAGAGGGTGTGGGCACTGTGGGACCCACTGGTTCCTTCTTCTCCTTGTCCTGGAGGCCCTGGTCCTCCAGGGCTGGAGAGGCTGCTGAGCAGGCTTGGGCATTCAAGTGGGAAGTAGCAGCATCCACATTTGGATGCAGATACCCCAGGCTTTGGGCTTCTGCCAGCTCCACCCCTTGCTAGGGATAGTGGCAGGCATGAAGGCCCCAGTCCAGAGTAGATTAGCAGAGCTCCTAATGGGCCGAAAACAACCCTGACACCTGTGGGGCCCAGAGAGTCCCAGCTCTTCCTGTCCATTCCAGGCCCCAGGCAGCTACACCTCCCTGGGAGTAGAAGCTCCAAGGAGAGGCTCACCTGCCATGAACGCTTGTGCTTTGTGTGTGTGTGCTCTGCAACCCCAGGGACCCCAGTCCATCAGGCTCCTCCATGGGATTTTATAGGCAAGAATACTGGAGTGGGTTGTCATTTCCTCCCCCAGGAAATATTCTGGAACCAGGGATCAAACTTGCATCTCCTGCATTGGCAGGAGGATTCTTTACCACAGAGCCACTGGGGAAGTCACCCTTACGAAGGCTTCTAGTCCTCTGAGGTGGCTTCTCTGGTTGGTACGAGCTGTGAAAGGGGCCCACCAGCCTCCATGGCATTTGATTCCTTCCCTGACATGACCCATACAGGCAAGGCCCTGTGGCTGGGACTTCAGGGCTCTGAGCAAGAGTTGGGCCCATTCTAAGCTTGCTGGGATCCCCTGACTGAGACCAAGCCAATAAAGGCCAGCTCTGGGAGTTTGCAATTAGACAGATGCAGGACTCAGGGCCCGCCCCGTCCCTGCCACACAGCCAGCACACTCCGGTGGATCCCAATTCTGAGGCCCAGGATCCTCACAGCCACCTTCTCCTGCCTCTGAGCCCGGTTTTATATTTGGTATGCCAAACCTTCCCACCCTACCACTCCCCTCACCAAATCGTTCCTGTCCTGTAAGCTCCAGCCTCCAAAACCACCTTGGTAACACCAGCTGGCCTCTCCAAGCTGCTCAAACTAAGCCCCTCAGCTCAACTTTCAGTCCTCTACCAGCCTGGCCTTCTGACTCCCGCCCGGCACTCAGCATCCTCTCTAAAGCAGATTCCTTAGTTGTACCCAGAGAATGGTTTACCCTTCTCAAATAAGCTATTTCCTCCAAGTTGCCCCTTGGCTCCTCCAGGCAGCACAGCCTTCCCTGACTGTCCCAGCCCTGTCAGTGGCACACAGGTCATCGTTTAGTTGTTCCTTTTTTTTTTTTTTTAAGTTGTTCCTAATGAGCCTTGTTACATTTGAAACTTTTCACTTTCACTTTCAATGAGCCATCTTACATTTGTTCATATCCTTAGGTATTGCCTATTCTAGGACAGGGCCCACAGGACATGCTGATGGGTAGACAGGCAGTTCTAATTCCCAGCTCCACCAATCCTCCCTCTTAATGTCCACCCCTACTCCTTTCTGGGTTGTTCAGGAGCTGACTCAGGCCTGGCCCATTTGGAGAACTGTTAACTTGCTCGGGTTCCCATTCACCTCCTATCTCTGTCCCTACCCGGGAAAAAGGCAGGCAGAGGCTGCAGCAGCTCACAGACACACCAGACAGGCTGAATGTTAAGTGCACTTTATCGGGCCCCTGAGCCTTCAAACACTGTCCTCATTGATCCTGGGGTGCCCACTCCCCACACTTCTAGCTGCACTGCAAGGGAGGTAGGTGGAGGAAGCACTTCTGGAGCGGCTCGTTTGCTCTGAAGGGTCTTGGGTGATGCTGGACCAAAGCAATATGCCTCTCCCCTGCAGCCCCCATCCCACCCCCAGCAGCTAGACCCTCCTTGGGGTAGAGAAGTGGGGATGCCTGGGCCTCCAAAGCAGGAAGCTGGCCCCAAGCCAGGTACCAGTTCCTGAATAAAATGGGGCAGGGGGCCATGTGCACAATTCTTCAGGGGCAGTGGTGAGGTAGACAGGGTAACACCTGACCCTGCTGCAGAGAGGGCCAGGCAGCCCTGGGAGCCAGGCTGACTCTTCCCATCAAGCCCAGAGGAGCCAGTGGTTGACGCAGTGAGGTTCAGCCCGCTGAGGCTGGCTGAATGGCCAGGAGGGGCAGCCGGGTCACCAGTCCCGCTCAGCGGGTTCTCGGTAGGGCAGGCCTAAGATCCTGAAGACATCCTTCTCAGTGGGGGTGGGCAGCACTTGGCCAGAGCCCACCTTGTGGCCTTGGGCATTGCGGACCACAGCTGTGCTGAGGGCATGCTCTGACAAGCTCATGCCCTTGGTCTTGGCCAGAGCCCGCATGGAGCGGTTGAAGTGGGCAGAGCCGGTGAAGTAGAGCAGGGCACAAGCGAACTCGCTGTAGGGAACGACGATGATGTCCAGTCGTCGGTGCCGCCGCCCTGGCCCCGGGAGCTGGCACACACCCAGGTACTTCTGCTGCTGGCCGTTCTCCTCGTGGCTCACCAGGTCATCCGTCAGGAACCCTGGCCCAACACAGGAGGGCTGCTGGGAGGGCAGGGAGCCAGGGCCTGGGCTGCCCAGCCCAGGGCCGTCTGACCTCCCAGGCCTCTCCTGATTATCCCTGGGTCCTCTGTCCCTGGCTTGTCCATTTATTTCCAGGCTTTCTTCAGGCCTGTGTCCTTTTCTATAGAATATGCATAGTCCTTCTCCCCATGTCGCCCCCCTATACCGGGTGCATGGAAAGATCAGATGAACCCTTGACCTGCAGCACCTCTGGGAGGTGTGAGGAGCTGATTCATCTCTTCCCTGCAGTGGCTCTGACCCCAGGGGAGAGGTGGAGTTCTCATGGAGCAGCCTCCATTGCATCCTGCCTAGAGATGGGAACTTTGAGGCTCTCCGGCCTGGGGGCCACCTTGCCCCTGCCCACCTGCTCACCCGGGGGTGGGGCTTATACCTTGCTGCCGGAGGCTGTCCAAGAGGCAGCTGAAGATGCCCTGGTGAGAGCGGCCATCCGGGTGGGTGAGCAGCACATCCACATCACCACAGGTTGCCTTTCCCCGTCGGTATGAACCACATGCCACGCAAAGGAGCCCGGGGTTGAAGGCCTGAGCTGCTTCCCGGACCTGGGAGAGGACAGTGAGGAGGGTGAGGGCTGTGGGCCTTCCCTGTCCCAGGAGCCCATACACCCCTTGGGTTCCAAGCCAATCCCTGGATGCATGGTCCAGCCTGAGGGAGAGAGCCTCAAGGAACAGAAGAGGAGTTCCATCCACCCTGGGGAGCAGTTTTCTAGCTTTGCTGGGACAGAAGAGAATAAAAAGTGCTCACACCACTGGATGTGGCCCCGGGAGAGGGATGAGAAAGACCAAGCTTGGATTCTGAGGGAAGGTGTGGCTCTTTCCCTCGAGAGCTCTTCAAGAGCAGACAGACATACCTTCTCTGGGGTCTGCCCCAACCCATACACCCAGGTGTGTGAAGCTCCACTGAGTACAGAGGGCCAGGTGCCAAGGAGCCCTCAGCCAGGTCTCAGCAGCCCCAGGTATCTTTGGATTCAGAGCTAAATGCAGTGTGTGAGTTGGGGCCTGCAAGTCTGATAGGTGGTTGGCAGGGTGCCCCTGGTCCAGGCCTCTGGGGAGATAGAGCCCAGAAATATAATTGCATGTATAGGGAAGGAAAGGAGAGCGCAAAGAGGGAGGGAAATCTGAGCCAATGGCCACATCCTTACTTGGAGGAATGGGGCTTGGTGCGGAGTGAGCTGAGACAGGGGGATCACGGTGTACTGAGTCAGGGGGACTGAGAGAGGTTAAGCCCATTAGTCTCCACCCCAGAAACACTGAGGCCTTTCATATGCGGATAGCTTCCCAGTCTCCACCCCAGGACACTGAGATTTCTGGGACCCTGGATACCTCAATTCTCCTGACAGGCAGGCTTTGCTAATCCCCTCAACCCCCTTCTTGAGAGGGTGGGAGGAGGCCTAGGATGAATAATCCCATCAAAACCTCCTAAAGCTGGAGACGTTAAATGGGGAGAGTGGGCCCTTCTGTTCCAGTGGGGAGCCACTTCTGTTCCAGTGGGTTGGGGCTGGAGGCTCACTGGGGCATTCTCTGTGCCCAGATACCGTGGCTGAGTGACAGGTCATCACTGGCACTAAGGCCCAGTGATGGGTGGACAAAGGGGCTTGCCTCTCCATCCCATACCAGCCTCACAGTCATGTGACTGGGAGAAGAGCTGGAGAGTGATTTCAACTGGGCCAGTCTCTAGGGAGTTCTGCCGTATCAGAATCATAGGCCATAGTGAGCAAACCAGCCCCTAACCTTAATGCCAGCTGAACAAATGATACATCTCACTCTAAATGTACCCTACTCTCCCTCTAATCTAGGTTTTACATGAATTTAACCCCTAACCCAACTCTAAACCAAACCCGAATGTTGGCCAACCTTATTTCTAGGACAATCATAACTTTTAACTAAAAGCATCCAACACTAAGAAAAGTCTACTAATTCAGGTCTAACCTTAACTTGACTCTAGATCTAGCTTTGCTCTAACCCCAAACCGAATCCTACTGGCATTGTGCTTTTACACCAATTCTAACCCAAACCCTGAACCAGCCTTTGGAGGGCTGCAGAAGGTACGTATTTCTGAAAAGAGATATACAACGTTGTGCATCTTTACAGACTGTGGAGAGAAGAGAGTCCATGATTTTCATTAGGTTCTGAAAGAAGTTTGTGAGTCAAAAAATGTTAAGAACCTCTGCCCTGATCCACCCTACCCTAGCTCAGCTGAAATCCCAATATCTTCAAGTAGTTCTGACCATAATCCAACTCTGATGAAGCCCTGACGTTAATCCAGCCCTAACACCATCCTAGCACCTAAGCCAAGGTTAACTCTGCTTGATACTGAGACCCCTACCCCAGAGAGCTAGTGCTGCAGCCCTTCCCTACCTAAGCCAACTTGCTCTTTGCCCACTAGTTCCAATCTCTGGTGGCCTGCAGCTTTCCTCTGCCTGCTGGGCTCCCCCCCGCCCCGAGGGATCAGGAGTTCCTGGCTTTGAGCCAGGCTCTGACCCTACAGCAGTGGCTCTCCTCACTGCCCTGAGACATCTGCTTACTGTCTGCTCAATCTCTGCAGCCTCCTCCCTGGGCATGCGGTCTAGGAAGTCATCATAATGCTTCAGGCCAATGGACTGCTGGGTAGTCAGACAGGCCTGGTTTTGGATGTCTTCTAAGCTCCGGAAACCCTGAAAAAAAGAAGCCAGATGGGAAGGCTATGAGGATCCAGAACCAACGAAGAGAGACTGAATAAGCAGACACACAAGGTTTTCAGCATCCTTAGACTCCAAGGAAAGCATGAGGCAAGGGCATGAGGCATGCTTGCCTCCAAGGCAAGCATGAGGCATGAAGCAAGCCCAGGGTCTATAATCAGTGGGACCTGGGAAAGGCAGGGGGCATGGAAGACACACCTCAATCCAGCCCTGCCCCAATCCTAAAACACTCATTCTTCATCTCATCAATCTAGGGGTGATTCTGGGCATTGCTGAGTTTGGGAACCACTGTTCTGGATTCTCAGCCCCTAGGTCTGGTCTGCTCAAGAAGACCCTTGTTTGTCTGGGGGACAGAGAAATATACTTCTTGTCTCTGCCTATGCCACAGACTAAGCCTCAAGGATATCAAACAGGGTAGTTCTGAGAGCCGAGAGGGATCTGCATGGGCCCTGGTCCCTTTGAGAAGTGATCCCTCTCTAGTCTGGGTTCATTCTCATCAAAGCACAGGGCGAGAGAACTGTGGGACAGGAGCTCTAAGATACCATAAAACTGAAGTAGGGGCTAGGACAGGGTGTGACCTGATGGTACCACATCTGGGCAGTCTTGGTTCCAGCTCCCCAGATGTTGGAGAAGAGCTCTAAGACAGGCACGCTTTCATTGATGTGGTCCAGCTTCCGCAGATGCCCGCTCTCCAGGATCTCGACAATCTTCTCAGCCATCCGCTTTCCAATCCCAGGGATGCCAAAGGCCTCCTAGAGGAAGAGAAGGCAGAGGCAGGAAGGAAAGGTGAGAAGATGGGAGGAAGAGAGTCAGCAGTGGGGAAACTGACTCCTTTAGCAGACGTCTTGAGTAAAAGCCAGTCTGGTTGGTGGGCAACTGATAGCTGTGTAAAGCTTGGGCACAGCTGAAGATGAGAAGTCTGGATGGAGTGGGCTGGGTAACTTGTCTGCTGGTTCCCAGAGGGATGGAACTCAGCACAGGCAGCAGTGATGACACTAGGCAGCATTACCACCACAGCAGGTGAGCCAGAGTGAGGCTTTAACCTGTATCGGGTCCTGCACTACATGGGTCATCTCTTTGAGTCCTCACGGGAGCACTGTGTTTGCTAGTGTGCTTAGTCACTTTTTACTCGTGAGGAGACTGATGCTCAGAGGATTTGAATGACTGGCTGAAAGTCAGACAGTTAGCGAATAATGAGAACCAGAATTCAAACTCTGGCTTGTTGATCTTCAGAGACTAAACTTTTAAGCAACTTTTTTTATTATGGAAAAACTCGAAAGTAAAAGAGTATACTGGATCCCACAGACCCAACACCCAGCTTTTATAATTATCAAGATTTTTGCCAAGCTGTTTTCATTAATCTCCCTGTTTTTTTCTTTTGTGAAAGTCCCAGACATCAGAAAATGTTAAGCCCTCTACCTGACCCCCACTACAGAAGACCCCCACCCAGCCCCCCACATGTCCTTCCCTAGCCCCCAGGTACCTGGTAGGAGGTGACAGGCTTGTGGAAGCTCTTCAGGGCATTGATGGCCTTGGCATAGCCCAGGGCCCTCCACTTGTCTCCCTGAACACTGTAGGCTTTGGCCAATACTTCCAGCTTCTCTGTGATATGGGGGTTGTGGTTGACTGCCTTCTGGCTCGAAGGCTGTGCACAGACCCACTTATCCAGGCCCTTGGGGGCTGGGCTAGGCTCACCATCTCCCTCAAAGGGGGTGGGGTAGCGGCCGCTGATCAGGGCTTCCAGATCAGCACCGCTAACTTGGGTCTCTTCCCCATCACTGGTTTCACCATCAGAGCTAGTCTTGAGATACAGAAGGAGAAGAGACAGTAAGTTCATGCCCCCCATGAGGAGGGCTCCTTCGAGGTGGGGGCTGAGTTTCCTAGTCAGACCCAAGTATGATGCTGGGTTTTCTGCAACAGACCTGGATCTTCTTAAGTGTGGGGCGGTGTTCCACCTGGCCTCCCCTAGTGCCCAGCCCTAGGATCCCCAGTGAAATGTGGTAGATAGGCAAATACAGGAGTGATGAATGCTGGGAAGAATTAAAAGACTTCTCAAGAAAGACAGCCCTCCTCTCTCAGGGGCCTGAGACTTTCTGAACACCAGGCTCTCCCTGTTTCTGTGATCTGGTTCCCAGGAGAAGGGAGCTGTGGGGGCTGGGAGGCTCCTGACCTGGGCTTGGATGCTTGCAACTGCCTCTGCCCTCCAGGCAGGAGATACAGGTCTGGTGGGAGGTCGGGGAGGAGACAGGGCTGTCCTGGGCTGAGCCTCACCGGCTCCAGGAGGTGTAAAAGAGAGTTGGTCTGCCTTGCTGAGCTGTGCTTCATCCAGGTACCTGCAGGATGGTGATGGCAGGTTAAGACACCAAAGTCTCACCCCATATCTGTTCCCAGTCCTTCTCCAATCTGAAATCTTTGTTTTTTTTAATGTGTCTAATTAAGACAATGAGAGTTTAATAGCTCAAGAAAACAAATTATTTGAGGATAGACTAGGACCAGCCCACCTCTTGGGGGTGAAGATGCCGAATCCTGCTGTGTCCACCAGCCTTCTCTCCTGCAGGCACAAGCTCAGCCAGGCTGACTTCACCAGCTGAGCACCTGGGGGCAGCTGGGGCAGTCTAAGGAGGCGGAGGGCTCGCTCACAGTCCATGCCTTCATCCACCACAATGTGAGTGACCCCTGGGGCCTGAGCAGGGCATATCTGGCCACCATGCTGGACAATCTGCTTCTCAAAGAGTTCTGCCCGGGCTCTCCCAATGCCGGTGGGCACAACGTGCACCCGCACGGAGCTCAGCCACTCTGTGGAGGGGGCATCCAGACGCCTGCTGTCATACTCTCAGACATGATCCGAATGAACCCTTCACAGTCCCCTTCCCACAGTCATTTTCCTCCACCCTGCCTTCTGGGGATTCCACCACAAGTATACAGTTAATTTCCTCATGGGCCATCGCCTGATGTAACGGGCAAAGACACTGATACGTCCTGTTCCCTGATGTAACCTAGAACTGTGTCTGGCACATTGAAGGGAGCCTATAAATCACTTCATTTGATCATTTATTCTTTCAACACATAGTAATAGACACTTATTATGTATCAGGCACAAGGCACATGCTTTGCTACTACAGGCCTCACAGTCTAATAGATTCCCCTCTCCCAACCCAGCCTACCATGTAAGTTTTTGCCATCTATTTGTCACTTTGGCTGCAAAATAGCATAACTCTGGGGACCTGAGAAGGATCCCCTCCCCTCACTAGTAGGCAGCTTCCTAGAGGAAAGGATCCTATCGGTCATTTCCTTAGGGACCAGGGAGTATTTTCCGGCATGTGGTAGAAGATGAAACAGAAAGTCACCTGTCAAAGACTGGGGATCAAGTTTAGGACAAGGGAGGTACAAACAAAGCTGCAGGCTCTGCGTGGGCAGAGTCAGCTGTAATATCTGATTCTGGGCATGAAAGATGTAAGAAGCCTGAGGCTCAAGCACATGAGGGTCTTGAGGGTGGGTCCACTCACCTCCTGCTGCTTCTCTGTCTTCCGTCTTAGGAATCTTTGCAAGAACTTTTGATGATGGGTTGGTGTGAATTTTCTTCCGCTTGGGAAATGCCTTCAAGATGCCCCTGGGCTCCATTGAGGTATGGCTGGACCCTAACCTTTCTGTTGGAGGGTTGATCAGGGCAGTTGTCATGTGCAACCCAGACCTGGGGCTCCCCAACCCCTCTATGAAGGTGGGGTGTCTACTGACAACACTTTGGGGACAGTAGCCAAGTTCCCAGGAGTCTCACAAAACCCAACTAAATTTGGCTTAGCCTAGCTCTACACATGGACAAAGGAGCCTGGTGGGCTACAGTCCACAGGGCCACAAAGAGTCAGACACTACTGAAGTGATTTAGCATGCACAATCACCAGTCTTTCAGAATACTGGGGAAAATAAGAAGAGTGGAAATATCCAGGGAACTTTTAAAGGGGGAATAAATGACATCATGGGCTTCCCTGGTGGCTCAGATGATAAAGAATCCGCCTGCAATGCAGGAGACGGGAGTTTGATCCTCGGGTCTGGAAGATCCCCAGGAGAAGGTAATGGCTATCTACTTCTTGCCCTGAGAATTGCATGGACAGAAGAGCCTGATGGGCTACAGTCCATGGGGTCGCAAGGAGTCAGTTAGGACTCAGCGACTAACACTTTCACTTTCAAAGCATATTATTCCTCAGGGGGCTGCTTTGAAGATTAACTGCAGTATCTGCTCCTGCTGCATCCCACTTCCAAAAGGCTTTACGAAAACGGGATGCTAGGCTAGGAATGGGCTCCATCTTTAGGAAGGACTTGGGCTTCCAAAAGGAGTGGGGATTGGTGGTGGGGGCGAGGGGGAACTTGCATATCCTTCTCTGCCCCCATCACAGGCCCGCAGAGGAAAACGGGGAGGGTGGGGGTGGCTGGTGGAGTTTAGGGAGCCGGGGTGGGGAACGCCCTGCACCTGCTCTGGTCTTGGCCCTCTCGGCACCGGGACGCGCAGGCCCGCAGCTGCGGGGAGACGCACGACTGCAGCAGGTGTCGGACGCCTTCCGGGACTGGGGAGTCTTGGCCTCACAACTGGGGGGTGGAGAAGACGCTGGCAGGTGTGAGGCACCCGCCGCGTACCGCAGCTGCCGCGCGCCAGGGATTCCCGGGGTGGGGCTAGGGGAGCGCTGGACTGTCCGGATCCTGTCCTGATGATTCCTCCTCATTCCCCAGATTCGGTAGAGAATGGGGTCAATTTCGGCCCCGACTGGTCACCGGGGGTGGACAGGAATAAACTACTTACCTGAGCAGCCAATGAGAGCAGACGGAGGGCGCGGGGTTCGCGGGGTGGGAACAGGCCAAAGCCCAGAACATCTTCCGGGTCATCCGGAAGTGACCCTAGGCGGGACGGTTGCCATGGCAGTGGCCAGGCACGCGGCTCGTTGGAGGGAAGATGGCGGTGACCGGCTGGCTGGAGAATCTGCGGGCGGCAGAGAAGACTGCACTGCTGCAAGACGGTAACTCGAGGCCCCCCACCCTGCCCCCCGGCGCGAGCACCTTGTTCCTTTCCCCCAGGGTCCAGCCCTCCGCGCTGGCGCCCCCTGGACGGGTCCAGCCCGAAGGGTAAGGCTGGAAGGTCGCAGCCTCCCGCCAGAGCAAGTTCTGCGTTTGCAGATGAAGAAACTGAGGCGCATATAGATGAGGCGACTGGAACACCCTTCTCTGAACACCCCTAGTTTCCTCCACACTACCTCGCTCCGCTCTGCGTTCTGTTACTAATAAATCTTTTCATGTTCACTATGTCATTTGCTCTTCCCCGCAGTCCCGAGAGGCTGTTTTCCACTCTGTTTTACAGAAGAGGAAACTGAAATCCAAGATTTTAGGTCGGCTGCAGCTCCCCCAGTCAGTCAGTGGTAGAAGTGGATCTTGACCTGGGATCCCATGAACCCCAGTCTGGAGATTCTATTGCTGAAAGCTGCCTGGTGTCATAGAGACTCAGGACACCTGCGCTGTATTTAAGACTCTGCCTTTAATTTACCGTGGGCTCCCTAGTCGGCCTCTTTACTCGTTTGAACTTCACTTTTCTCATCTGTAAAATGAGGTGAATGGATTATCTCTGAGGTCCTTTGGACTTGTTATGTTTGTAAGTGAATTTCTAAGTGTTCCTTGGGTCTTTAAAGGAGACAAAGCAACACCTCCTGCCCCACCCCACCCCACCCCCGCCCCCGCCACTTCCCCCATTCCTGCTGGTTCTGGAAGAGGTGGACACAGGGGTATGGAGTTCTGACTTTCTTCCACTCTAGGATTGGCCAAAGCTTGACGGTCCCTTCCTGGACCCACTTGGCAGCCAGAATGAATTCGGTTTGAATTCCTTGTAGCTTTCAGGAAACTGGCAGGGACTGAAATGCACAGGTAGAGGCCAGTCAAGAAAGCCTGGAAAGAGAAATCAGCTGGTCATTTGCTCATTTATTCAGGTAGCATTCAGGGATGCTTTTACTATGTGTCAAGTTGTGTGCTAGAGCAAATAGAAAAAGACATATCTCAGGAGTTCCCATAGTGGTCAAGAAAAAAAGGTAAATAAATGAGAGTGTATGTGTTAAGTAGAAGTTGGACTTTTCTATAAAATGCCATGAGAGCTCAGAGGTGAAAATGGTTCTTTCAGGCAGATCTGACAGAACAGGTGATGTTCATGGGCCCTAAAAGATAAATAGGTGTTTGCTAAGTGGAGAAGAGGGGATAGTTATTCCACCAAGAGTAACTCACATGTGAAGACGCAGAGGTGTGAAAGTGTGTGGATGATTTCTAGGGGCATAGCAAAACATTTAGTGAGGCTGAAGCCTTTACCCAGTCAGTCCTAATATCTATCTACACTTTGTCAGGTACTGGGTGCTAGGATGCAAGAGTGAATAAAAGGTCCCTTTTCTCAAGGAGTGTTAAGGGGAAATGGTAGAACATGAAGAGAAATTGCAGAGAAGTTGGAGTTGTGATAGATCTCCTTTGCCAAAGTAAAGATTTTGAACATTATCTCATAGGACGGTGGGATTTGTTTTTATTGTAAGAAGTACATAACATATATTTACCATTTTAGCCTTTTTTAAGTGTAGTTTTGTGGCATTAAGTATATTCACATGGTTGTGCCCCCACTGCCACTAAACATCTCCAAAACGTTCATCTTCAGCTGAAACTCCATACCCGTTAACTACTAACTCCTCAGCTGAAACTCTGTACCCATTAAACACTATTCCTCAGTCTCCTTATCTTCTTGCCCTGGCAATCACCATTCTACTTTCTATCTTCATGAGTTTGGTTACAGCATTAAGCATAGCATAATGTCTTCAAAGTGTAAACATGTTGCATGTGGAAATGAGGAAATGTCGTTTGTTGCATGAGGAAATTTTTATTTCCTCCCTTTTTAAAGCTGAATAGCATTCTTCCATTGTATGTATGAATATACCACATTTTGTTTGTCCACTGGTGTGTCAATGGACACTTGAGTTGCTTCCACTTTTTGAAAAATTAATTTTATTAATTTAATTATTTAATTATTAATTTAATTTTGTGCTTCACAATGTTGAATTTGTGTCTGATGTACAGCAAAGTGAACTCAGCTGTACATATATTCCCTCGTTTTTGGATTTCCTTCCCATTTAGGTCACCACAGAGCATTCTGTAGAGTTCTCTGTGCTATACAGTAGGTTTTCATTAGTTATCTATTGCATAGTATCAGTAATATATATATATATATATATATGTCAATTCTAACTTCCCAATTCCTCCCCAGTCCCCCCTTGATAGCCATACATTTGTTCTCTGTGTCTGTGTCTCTACTTCTGCTTTGCAAATGCGTGTGTGTATGCTTAGTTGCTCAGTCGTGTCCGACTCTTTGGAACACCATGGACTGTAGCCCACCAAGCTCCTCTGTCCATGGAATTTTTCAGGCCAGAATGCTGGAGTAGGTTGCCATTTTCTCCTCCAAGGGATCTTCCAAACCCAAGGATTGAACTGGTGTCTTCTGTGTTAGCAGGCGGGTTCTTTACCACTGATTTGCGTGGGAAGCCCTGCTTTGCAAATAAGATCATCTATACCATTTTTCGATATTCCACATATATGCATGAATATACGTATTTTTTTCTTTCTAACCACTCTGTATGACAGTCTCTAGCTCCATCCACATCTCTGTAAATGACCCAGTTGTGTTCCTTTTTGTGGTTAATATTCCAATGTATATATGTACCACACCTGTTTTTTTTTTTTAAAACTTTTGAAACTACTTCTTTTGGACTGTGCTGGGTCTTTGCTACTGCACGTGGGATTTCTCTATTGATAGTTATGACGATTGTGGGCTGCTCTCTAGTTATGGTGCACAGGCTTCTTGTTGCCATAGATTCTGTTGTGGAGCACAGGCTCTAGCGCCCTCAGGCTTCATTAGTTGTGGCACATGAGCTTAGTTGCTTTGTGACAGTGTGGAATCTTCCCAGATCAGGGATCAAACTCATGTCCCCTGCATTGGCAGGCAGATTCTTAATCACTGGACCACCAGGGACGCCCCTGTGCCACATCTTTATCCATTCCTCTGTTGATGGACATTTGGGTTGCTTCCATGTCCTGGCTGCAATGTAAACAGTGCTGCAATGAACATTGGAGTACATCTGTCTTTTTGAATTACAGTTTTTTCCGGGTATGTGCCCAGAAATGGGATTGCTGGGTCATATGGTAGTTATGTTTTTAGTTTTTTAAGGAACCTCCATACTGTTCTCCTTAGTGACTGTATCAGTTTACATTCCCGCCAACAGTGCATGAGGGTTCCCTTTTCTCTGCTCCCTCCAGCATTTATTGTTTGATGATGGCCATTATGACTGGTGTGAGGTGATATCTTATTGTAGCTTTGATTTGCATCTCTCTTAGTGATGTTGAGTATCTTTTTATGTGTGTGTTGGCCATCTATGTGCCTTCTTTGGATAAATGTCTATTCAGGGGTTCCACCCGTTTTTTGATTGGGTTGTTTTTTTGCTATTGAGCTGCATGAGTTGCTTATATATTTTGGAGATTAATTGTTTGTCAGTCACTTCATTTGCAAATGTTAATATTTCCACCCATTCGGAGGGTTATCTTTTCATCTTGTTTATGGTTTCCTTTTCTGTGCAAAAGCTTTTAAGTTTAATTGGGTCTTTTTATTTTTGTTTTTATTTATTTTTGTTTTGTTTTTATTTTTGCTTTTATTCTTATTTATTTTTGTTTTTATTCTTATTACTCAAGGAAGTGAGTTACTTCCACTTTCTTTTTTAACCATAAAGAACTACTGCTGTGAACATAGACACAAGTATCTATTCTAGTCCCTGCCTTTCACTTCCTTTAGTCAAAGGACAGTGTTCAAATAAATACTTCATCAACCAGGATTTTGGTACTTTTTTTGTTAGTGATATCACAAAACAACATTGTTAGTTTTTTCTCTCCCTAATCAAAACCTAAAAAAGAAAACAAAAAACCCTAATGTGTGAATATGCCTTGTTAGACCACTCCTGGAGATCTGCCCTCCTGATGTGTATGTGAGTGGGCAGAGGATGTGGCTGTCTGCCCACCAAGAATCACTTCTCTTGATAATGAGAACCCAGTACACTTTTTCATAAATCATTATTTTTTCTGTTGCAAATTATTGATTTATTCAATGATTGCTATTCCTGGCAGTCCCATTATTTGCAGGAGGTGGACATCAGTATGTTAACAAGTTTTTTAGAAAAAAACAGAAAAAAGTGAAGAGTACATTGTATGTGAGGTCAGTGTTTATGATACTTGATATGATACATGCAACACACATAGACACACACAAACACACATACGATAGATTACATATATACTGGATTGTGATCTACATCTTATTTCTTACCCTAGGTCCCATTCAGAAAAGTTTGACAATCACTGGTCTAGAGAAACTCTTTGTGAGCTATGCGGTATCTTTCATAAATAATTTATTTTCACTGTGGAAATATGAAAAATAAATAAACAAGTCACCCCTAATCCTCCCCTGTGGAGATAATAACAATTGACATTTTCATACAGAAACATCCATATTTTTTCCATGTATACAAGCTCACGCACACATATTTTTTCTTTCACCAAAATATCATAGTAATATACTTAAATTTTTTTATATTCACATACATGAGTACATTTAGAACTGACTGAGCTATGAGGGAAGCCCTAAATATGTATTAGAATAAAGTATAGATGAATATTATGATCTTGGGTAAGGGAGGATATTCTAAGCACAACTTCTGGATAATAACCACAAAGGAAAAATAATTGACTATATAAAAATTAAACATTTGTTTGAGAAAATCTGCTTTAAACAAAAAGGCAATTAAAACTGAGAATATTTGCAACATGTGTGACATGTTTACTATATACAAAACTCAATCAGATTAGTAAGAAAAAGATGAATACTGAAATAAAATAGGCTAAGGCCTAAACATGTAATTCACTAGAAATATGAACAATAAACCCCTAGAACATTGTTCATCCTTATAACCTTAAAGCCATACAGATACCCTAGTATGGTTATTAGAGCGTCGACTTTGGCCTCAAGTGAGTTTAAGCCCAGGCTATCATTTCCTAGTTTTATGACCTTGAACCAGTTACATGATCTTTAAGCCTCAATTTTCTTTATTGGTGAAAGACAAGTACTGGAGGCACATAGGATTATTGTGAGAATTAAATGCAATAAAATATGTGAAGCACCTGGCCCACAGTAAGCACTGTGTCCTGCTGCACTGACGACCAGACTCCAGGAAAGAAGAGGGTCAGGCCAGACACCCTCAGTTACTCAACAGGCAGCACCTCGTACCTGCTTCCTGACAGGACAGCCTCTGCCAGCTCTGCCAGCCAAACATGATTAAGGGTGGTGTAACCTGGGGGCCTATGGAGAGGCCCGCAAATTTGGGGGTGAGTGTCCCTAGAGTACAAATTTGGAATGACTCAAAGAACAAGGTCTCGGGGAGTGAATGGACAGCAAAAGGTTTGGTAGATCGGATGCAGTTGCAAGTTTTGGCTAGTGGCTCCTTTAGCTGATCAAGGGCCTTGGGGCTCTATTCATCAGGGATATGCCAGGTACCTGTCTGCTGAGCATTGGTACTGTCTCACTGAGGAGCCTACCTGTCTGTCTACCTATCTGTAAAAATTGGAAATTATCTAACCACGTTTAAGAAGATGCTTAGGATTATACTACTGAGATGGAAGAGTTGGTCTTGGAGATGCCCTGGAATTCTTTCCCTTTTTTTTTTTTTGAACATATGTTACTTTTGTTTTAGTATGAAATTGTTTTAAATTTGTTTTCTTTTAAGTTTTTATTGGAGCCTAGTTGCTTTACAGTGTTGTGTTAGTTTCTGCGTAGAGCACAATGACTCAGCTGTCTCTATACACATACCTCCGCTTTTTTGGATTTCCTCCCCAGTTAGGTCACCACAGAGCACTGAGCAGAGTTCTCTGCGCTATGTGATAGATTCTCATCAGTTATCTGTTTTATACATAGTATCAATAGTTTATATATGTCAATTCCAATCTCCTGATTCATCTCATCCCCACTTCCCCTTGGTATCCACATGTGTGTTCTCTATGTCTATGTCTCTATTTCAGCTTTGTAAATAAGACCGTCTATATCAATTTTTTCAGATTCCACATATATGTGTTAATATGCGGTATTTATTTTTCTGAATTCTGATTTTACTCTGTATGACATACTCTCGGTCTGTCTAGGCCTCTACAAATGACCCAATTTCATTCCTTTTTATGATTAATATTCCATTGTATTTATGTACCACATCTTCTTATCCATTTCTTCTCTTCTTTCAATGAAAGATGAAGTGATGTTCTTTCATTCTTTCAATCAGTATTTATTTATTTATTTTTCAAGTTTAAATTTAATGACTTTGGTATTAACTATACAAAGACTTAAAATCTTCCAGTTCAGTTGTGACTCCAGACAGGATTCAGAGAGTTCTAAAAATCTCTTCTCTGGGTTTTATGGAGACTTCCTTTACCGTCCTGTGTTAGCCTCTTAAGGCACTGCGTCAGCCTCAAAAGGGCACTGGAAAGGGCGATCAATCAGTATTTAGCTGAGCTCTTAAAACATGCCAAGTACTGTGCTCAGTGTTTGGGAAACCATAGATAGAGGGCATAAAATCCCTCTTATCTTAGTAAAGAGACAGGCAGTAATCATCCAGAATTCACACAGATAGATGTAAAACCATAACCAAGGTAAATGCCATAGGGAAAATGCGTGGGCACTAATCTCATGTGCTGTGTGATAGGAATGGCATAGAGATGTGCAGAAGAAGGCAGAGTGAGGACACAGTTGGAGGGAGCCATTGGTTGGGAAACCCAGTTCACTAATCTGAGCACCTAGGCTTGGTTTTAGGAACTGGGGAGAGAAAGATAAATATGATATCATTCTTGAAACAGATCCTTTTAAAAGTATCATACACTGTGATAAATGCTCCACTGTGGATGTGAATAAAGCACCAGGAAGGCATAAAGAAATAAGTGATGAATTTTGCCAAGGTGGCTAGGAGTGATAGTTTTAGGAAGACTTCCCAGGAGAAATGACATTTCAGTTGGATTTTGAAGGGCAAGGAGGAGTTCAACAGTTGGGAAGAGTGGCTCAGACAGTAAAGAATCTGCCTGCAATGCTGGCGACCCAGATTCAATCCCTGGTTTAGGAAGATCCCCTGGAGAAGGGAATGTCTACCCACTCCAGTATCCTTGCCTGGAGAATTCAAGGACAGAAGAGCCTGGCAGCCATATAGTCCATGGGATCACAAAGAATCAGATATGACTAAGCAACTAACACTTTTTTTAGAACTATTGCTTGTAGAATAATCAGCAGAACAAAGACATATTCAGGAAAAGCAAATGAGTCCCAGGACATGTCTTAAAGTAATGGTGGGTGATGGTTGTCAAGGAGTTCATGGGAGGCTCTGGGAAGATTTTTAATATGCCCATGGCTATTAGTGTTTCCCAGGTGGATCTCTGGGTCTAAAAAGCCCAAGGCAAGAGGCTGCTCAGGGGTAAGACCCTCTTCTGCTTTGTGTCTAGGGAGAAGAAAGGTGCACTATTTGTTCCCAGATGGAAAGGAGATGGCCGAAGAATATGATGAGAAGACAAATGAACTACTTGGTAAGTGACAGGGGCCCCCAGTGGGCCCTTAGAAACACTTGGGGTGACCTGAGCACAGGTAAACAGGCCTAGCTGAGGCTTCAGGGAGAAGCTCAGCAGTACCTTTGGGAGCTTGGGGAGACTGAGGCCCTTGAAGCAAAGTTGTTCCTGAGAATAACCCAAGGTCAGGGCCGGACACCAGAGATGCAGTGGGCATCCACTTGACCAGTGAACCTCACTCCACCCCGAGGCAGATGAGAGAGTTAACTCTTCTAAGGTGTGATTGGGGGTGTAGAGAAACCATTGGGAAAATCTTCACAGAGAAGGCAGAATTGGAAGTAAGCCTGGTGGGCGAAGTCATGGTGAAGGCAGCTTTCCCTGCACATTTTGGCTTAATTTTTGTTTTGTTTTCTGAAACCACATCAGGAACAAGCAAGAATCAGAGGCAGCAGCTTCTGACCTTGCCTCAGAGGCAGCTCTGTTAAATATACCCCTTGTCTTGGAGAACGTCTGAATTAAAGGGAGGAGGGGGGAGAAATGGTCATTTTGCAGCATCATCACTTTCATTCCTGCACCCCTTTTCCTCTAAGAATAAGCCCATGAATAGAGGCTCCAGCTCAGATTTCTGAAGATTATTTGATTTGCTCATTCTCTGTTCTCAGGTATGCATATCAGCATTAACTGACTTCCTGAAGCTGGGTGGCTGGTTCTTTGACCCAGGGCCTGAGGCTGTCAGCAGTGGGAGTTGGTCTCTTTATTAAGTTTCACCTGAAATGCTAAGACCAATGATGGAATCATGGGCTGGGTTATTTTCTTGTCATTATTCTTGACTTTAATTTCTTCCTGGGACTGATGGACAGGTAGTACTGTTGAGGGAATTTCTTTTTCCCTTTTTCTCACAGCTCATAAATGTCTAGAACCGACAACATGGATCACACTGGTTTGCATTCTCTCTGTCTCCAGTTTTAAAATGTGTGTCCTGCGCATGCTCAGCCGCAAAGTGAAGTGTTGATCCTTCCTTATTATGAGCTGCTTGGGTTCCAGTCCCAATTGGTTTAGTCTGGTGCTATTAAAAAATCTTGATGTGTTTAGCATATGACACTGATTTGGTGGAAACCAATACAGTAGTAATATCCTTACAATGCATTGTAATTTATAGCACTCCCAGGGGGTGAAAGCCTTGGAGTTCCTAACAGGGGGTGAGCTTATGAAAGCAGAGGTCACGTGGGCTGACCAGCGCCATCACCAGGCCAGGGACTAGCCACAGCTCCTTTCTCTGAGCCCCCAGCAGCACTCTCCTCTCCACACAGAGCAAATAATACAGATGTTGCTGCTGTGGCTATAAAAACAAACAAGTAAAACCCAAGGCCTCTTAGTTGTGCTTGGACACAAACTTGAAATGAAGAACAAGCCCAGGTTACTTCATTGGTAACATCCCATGTGAATCTATCACATTCCTTCATGGTCAAGAATAGACAGTGGCCTCCCAACTCCTTTTTCTTAAAAGCAAAAGTAGAGGTTCATAGGAGAATGTTGTTTGAATAAGTCTACCTAAGGATAGTAATACTGTAACTTTTATTGGGCGCCATGCCAAGTGCTTTATACCAATCATCCTCCTTACAGCCCTGTGTGGTAGGTAGGTACTGCTATATTCTTTTTACAGTCAGGAAAATTGCAAGTTTCAAGAGGTTAAGCACCTTGCTCAGAATCACATAGCTGGTTAGTTACAGGGCTTGGGTTTAAGCCTAGGTCTGTCTGATGAAGAGCCCATGCTTTTAATCCACAACAACATACTGTTGGGAGTTGAGAGTACTTAATCCTGTTTTGTTTTTTTAACTAAATTTTGTTCTCCTCAGAATGACCCGAGTAGAGACTAGTGGGAGCAGGACAGAGATTGGGCAGTGAGGAACACTTCAAACCACTGGGCCCCTTGAACAGCTGACCCTTTTCTTATTCATCTCCAACCACCCCACCCCACGCCTGCCAGCTTGCAAAATACTGTTTGTTTTTAATTTTTAGGTATAAATAATCCCAGGGCCTGAACTGACTTTCACTTGTGCATTCGTTGAAGCAAAATATGGACAGGATTTTTGTGGCTGTAAATGGGAATGGTTTCCATTTTTTATTTTTTTCCAGCTAATTATACAAATTGGATAATTGGCCAAACTGGTTTTCTGTCTGAAAAACCCAGAAAGTAATTTATAGAGAGAATTACCAATAGTGCATCTGTCTGGGTCAGAGCCCTTCCAGTTGGTGTTAATAAGCATAGTAGTGTCATATTTTTTTTTCCTGCCCGCTCAGTGCTATTCATTCCCACCCCCCACAATGAATGCTGTATGTGTATTCATAGAGAAAAAAAACTGAAGGGCCCCATAACAATGATCGGAACATCAAACCAACCCTAGAAGAACACAGCATGTCCAGGGGGGCCGAGGCTGAAGGGCAGGCCATCCCCCAGCGATTACATTCGGATTACCGGCTTAATCTGCTGTGGTATTTGACCGCCAGCCTAACCACCCCAGGCTGCATTTGGAGGATATTGAGCACTTTCATCCCCAAGCACTTCACCGGCTTTATAAATGACCCACTCGATTCCCTTCAGCCTCCTCAGGGATGGGACGTGGCAGCTGTTTAATAGCCACATAGCAATGTTGCAGTGTTTTAGGGCAGAAAAGAAGAATCCTGCATCCAGTTTAAGCTGCAGGGAGTATTTAGGAAAGGGGAATGTAATTATCCACATTGGAAGTGGGCCAGGGCTGGGAGCTCTGGGGAAGGAGGCCTTTAGGACCTCTACTTTCCAGCCCACCTGAAAGATGGGGCCTCCTTTCAGCAGTCAGGGACATCAGCCTGCTTCCTGCTGACTTAGGAAAAAGGCCCCAGGCGCTGCCTCCTTCATATATTCCCCATCAGACCCTTTACAGGGTCATTGAAAGTCTCCTTTCCAAGGACTGGCCCCTGGCTCAGCCAGGAAGATATGACAGCGTCCCAGGGAGCTGCCTTGCACACACCAGTTTGGGTTTAACATATAATCAAATCAGAGTGACAGCAGGTGGAAACAGTCTTCTGTTGCCGCAGGAGCTGTCCTTGAGTTCAGGAACAAAGACAGGACAAGAAAGACAAGACGAAGCATGTATTTGCATGTGTGCATCCATGCCCACATCCATGGGAGAAATAATAAGGACTTCACCAAAAATCATTTATTGGATCTTATCTCAACACGGGAATTAGTACAGAGACCTTCTTCGTATTCTAACAAAGAATTTAACCTCAAAGTGTCAAAAACAGTGAAACAGCCAAGGGTCCAAGTTTCTGTGACCTGAGTGGCTTTTAAGGCCAGCAGTAAGGAAACCAGTAGCTAACCTTCCATCTCCTTAGGATCCTTTTGGGGAACATTTCTGTTCCAAACCCAGTTATTCCATAGATAAAAGAGTAGATCGGAATTGCCTTTCCTGGCCACACTGGCACTGTGCTTCAGGACACATGATTTAACAAGGCTCGTGATCACTGGACCCGTCACTTGTCCAGCCTCAAATAATTACGTGTTTTTCAGAAATTAAATTTTCAAATAGTTGAAGCTTTTCCTTTAAATGCTAAAATTTTAAAAAGAAATAGAGCTTTAAAAAAAAACTTCAAAAATATCATATATGCTATTGAATATTTTTGAGGGGGGCATTGCAACCCACTCCAGTATTCTTGCCTGGAGAATCCCCATGGATAGAGGAGCCTGGCAGGCTACAGGGTTGCAAAGAGTTGGACACAAGTGAAGAGACTTGGCACAGCACAGTTAAATATTTATAGAATACAAGTTAGCCTTTTACTAATGATTGAAATTCTGGTCTTGGAGTTAGGAGACCTGAATTTTACCTGTGGATTTTGCAAGTGAGTGTCTCTTTCTGAGCCTTGGTAATTCTTTATACTCTTCCTTGGAGAGTGGTAGCAGAGGTTGAAGGAGAGCAGGCAGGGAAGAATGCTATTTCTCATTTGAAAGATACAAGCATTGGACTAGATGCTTTCTAAAAGAACCTCCGCCTTTAAGCTGTTTTGACTGTTCTTAGATCATGATCCCATCAGTCTAAGGATGCTTGTTTGCCCTCACACCAAGTGGCCCCACATGCTTTTTAGTTCTGACCGTGCACTCAGTGTGAGCTATCCCATCATGCTGTTGTCAGTATGCCTGGGAAAAAATTAATTTCCTGCCTTATTCTACACATAGCATTTTATACATGTCCGAGTAAGAATCTAGGAGTGATCTTTTCTACAGTATAGAGTGAGATACATGGGTCTGTCACAGTAAGTCGCAGCTAAGAGGCGTTTGTCACTTCTGAATTTGTAACTGAAGGCTGCAACCCAGAAGACTGGCTTCCTAGTTGAGCAAGGTATTACATGAATAGATTTGGATGTACTCCTAGTCAACAGTCCATTCACTTAAGAGAGAGGTATTTGTGAGAAAAAAAAAAGTTGTCTATAAAGCATATTTCCAAGTTTTACTCTTCCTTATTAATTTTCATTATAAACTTGGAAATGTGTTTCTAGGGAGAGTTTTTGGTCCTGAGACGTAATAAAATCACACTGCAGAATGCAACAGACCTTATAAAAGCACATATTCAAGGGAAAATCCTCATTTTACAGCATACTTTTGTGTTCAGCTTGTGTGCCTTGCTTAGAGCAGGGAGGGTGTTTGGGGTTTGGCACAGCTACTCAGAAGAAACCCATCCTGAGAATCGCACTCACCCCCCGGCCCAGAAAAGGAGCAACCACCACAGGCCACCGGTCACTTTCTGAGTTGTCTGGCTCCTCACGGCAGCTCCAGGAAGGCTGCTGGCCTGGAGCAGCGCCCGAGCTGCCACCTGGAAGACCCCCATTGCCTCAGGGAGGGAAGGAGCCAAGCGGTGGCGCTTGGGAAAGCCCCCTTGGGCCACGGGCATGCTGACAGCGGTCGGCTGTGACAGGGCTGAGTGGGGTCCCTGAGCGTCCCAGTGGGGCTCTCAGTGTCTACTGAACTGGACTTTTCACTTAAAATTTCCATACAAGTGTGGACCTTACTGGAAAAAAAAATCTTATGCAAACATCTGGGCTGTAAAATAGAAATGATTATTTGCATTATAAAAGGATGATTCCACTCTATAAGAAATTTATGTTACATCTTTTATAAATAATACATTTAAAATGTGATGTGTGCCTAAAATTTCCTGTAAAAACAACTGTGGGGCTGTTGTTTTAAGCCAGGTACACCTGAAATGAGTAAACTTCTCAATTTGGACTTTCCGAGTCATGCCTATCAGCTTTCACACTCTTAATTCATTCTTCCTTTGCTTATTTTTAGAAGGAAGAATGCACATCAACTCATGCTTCTTGGGATCCATATTTTCCCTGTTACTAGTAGCCACCCTTTTCCCAACCTTCACATCATCCTTGTGATTGAAGTCATACCTGGGGGTTTCTGAACTCCACTTGGCGCCTTTCACAGCTTTGTTTTAATTCTTTTTGTCTGGGCACCCTGATCTGTGCTTTACAAATTGTCTAGTATTGAAATGCTCTCCTGAGATTTCAGGGGTCATGAGGTCCCTGCTCTGATGGATAAAAGTTAGTGTGAAGGCCTGTCACTCCCACTTTTATCCTGTTCTGTACCTAAAGTGATGTCAATGATTCAGTAGAAGAGATCAGAACACCTTTCCTCCCCGTAATCCCACTGCTTCCTTCTCTCCTCAGTGAGGAAGTGGCGTGTGAAGAGTGCCCTGGGAGCCTTGGGCCAGTGGCAGATTGAGGTGGGAGAGCCAGCACTCCCAGGAGCAGGGAGCCTGGGGCCTGAACTCATCACGGAAAGCAATGCCAATGTATGTCTATCTGTTAGGTGTCTTGGGGAGGCTGGGGGAGTGGGGTGCTAGCCCTCAAGGGCAGGCACCATGTCTTGTTCACCTCCTCATTTCCAGTGTGCCCACCTGGACACAGTGCTCTAGAGACATTCCCTTGAATGGATACCCAAAGGGTTTTGGCTTAAGTCATCCCAGAGCAGGGGCTCCAGGCTTCGTAGGTCACAGCAGTGGCAGCCTCAGAGGAGAGCTGAGGATCTCCCATTGTGTCCCCGGGTAGAGCTCTGTGGAGGGGAGCCATCCCTTCCTACCCCTCTCCAAGAATAGTCCTTGAATTGGATTTGCCTTCTGCAGCCCATATTCATGCGCAAAGATACCAAGATGAGTTTCCAGTGGCGAATTCGAAACCTCCCATACCCTAAGGACGTTTACAGCGTCTGTGTGGACCAGAAGGAGCACTGTGTTGTCGTGAGAACAACCAACAAAAAGTAAGTGGCATGGTAGGCACCTGCCTACTTGTGTATGAGCAAGGTGGGGGTGGGGTTTGACCTAGGGTTAGGACTCAGATGGTTCCCCACCCCAGAGGGTAGAGCAGCCTCCTCTTCCAGCTCTGAGAGAGGCAGAAGGGCTTCACTACAGCCCTAGAGTAGGTACTAAAAGCTGAAGGGCTTTCTGTCTTCGGCCCTTGAATACTGTAATCAGAACCAGCTTGAATATTGTAATCAGCTCCATCAGGGCAGGGAAATTTGAACAATGAGTGTCTGGTCCAGTACCTGGCATATGCTGGAGCTCAGTAAACATTTGTTGGATGAATGAGGGGATGAGGAAATAACCCAGCCACTGACTTGTGATCTTAGGTGGTTCTGCTGTAAGGTTACTATGCCTTGACCTCTGGCTGGCTCCAATCCACTATGAGCTTGGAGCTGGCAGGGAGCCAGAGCCTGGAAGGCACCCCTGTCTGAGGTGGCAGTTACAGAAGTTAAAAGCACTGGTCTGGGAGCAGCAAACTTGATCCAACCAACACCCTAGGGGTGTTGTCCCTAGAGGGACAGGGGTGGGTGCTTTGGCTTCTTAGAAGTCTCTTGCATGATGTTTCAAAGAGGGTCTTCACGTCCCTTTTCCTCCTATTCTCATGGTATGCTAGGGGCAGGCAAACTTTGGGGCTGAGGGGACAGAAGGTGACCGAGGTGTGGAGATCTGATCCTGGCGGGACTGCTTCTGGGCTGATATCTTGGAAATGCACTGATCTCGTTTGGGTTTCTGAAGCTCTGACTGATCACACAAGAGAAGAGCCCCGTAATGACTTGGCTGTGAACTGAGTCAGAGGGATTGCAGTGTAGGACCAACTCCCATGAAATAGATTTAGGGCATTGAGATGGGAGGTTTTATGAGTTACTAGTCCACAGACTGTGAAGCTACCCAGCATGTCTCATGGGGTGCTCAGCTTAGGCCAGAGATGCTCCCTCCAGTTTACCTGGAGTGAGGAGGACCCAGTATTTGTCCATCTTCTCAGGTGGTGTGGTGCCAGCCTCCCCTCCCATCTCCCTCAGGTCCGTGAGGCCACAGGAAAGCAGTGTGGCTCCCAGGCTCCCCTAGTGCCACCCTGGGTTCTCCCCTCCTCTCTGACCCCCCCACCCTATCACTTTGGCAGGGTTCAGGGGTGGGGAAGGGGTGGAGATGAATGAATTAATTTCAGGATTATTGCTGTACATGCAGCCAGCAGCCCCTAAAGTGAGCCTTGTCTATAAATATAAAGTCATAATAATAAGGGTTTGCGTTTGTAAAGCACTTTATAGCCCTCAGATAAAAGGCAGTTTATTCCCGTTATTGTTCTCATCATTAACAGGAGTCAGTGCCTAAAGTAGAATTTAGCAATTTCAGACAACAGAGAAATTGCCTTTAGGAAAACAAACTCCATGCTTCAGCAAGCATTCCCTGGCGTCAGAGGCCCTGGGTCCAAACTAGGAACAAAAGTGCTTCTGATAGCACTTGAATCTGCAGCCCAGCAGTTTGTGGAGCTGGCTGCTGCCTCCCTTTTGTCCCCCAGAGGTCACTGTCGAATACAGATATCAAGCAGAAATGTGATTACCAGGGAGCGAGAGAAGAGAGGCTAGCTAGCTCACCAGAAAATTCATCTGCAGGCCGGTCCTCTGGGTCCCATCTCCTGCGCATATCCAACCATAGGTGGCGCTGTTGGCCAGGCGCTCCACTCCAACGCCCCAGGCAAGGGGAGACGTTGCTGAACTGCTGGGTGAGGACGGGTGGTGATGGGAGTAGTGCCTCCAGAGGGAGCAGGACCAGGATCGGATTCCCACAGAGGGGAGAGGAGTATGTGAGTGCTCACTTCAGGGCCTGCACTGAGATCTCAGGGTCAGTGCTGCGCAGCCTGGCGCAGCACAACCTTGGGACCCTCTGCTGGGAGGAAGGCGAGGGAGGCTGCTAAGCCCCAAACCGGCTCCTCCTCAGCCTAGTGGCACGTTCATTTTCTACTTGGAGTAATAACACGTCCTGTACCTTTACTTCCTCTAAATATACACAACTCAATGGCTATTCCTTTGAGCGGAGTTTAACTTTTTCAAGATAATGTAAAAATCTATTTTCTGATCATCACACCATCCAGTGGTAGACAGGGTATGTATTTTTATTCTTGTGCTATATATGAACGATTCCATAAGAGTATCTATAAAGTCAGCATGATGCACTTGATTTACTGGCGGGGATAGTGACGGTTTTAATGCCCAGGCCTCTACAGTTTCCACCACACTGTGGCTTTTCTGATTTGACGTCCTTCACCTGAAGGTTCCATATCTGCCCAGATTCTAATATTCTGGAATATGGTTATCAATAAAAGCCAGAGTCCCTGAAAAACTGAGTTTGCCGCTTTTCTTGATGGAATTGATTCCAGTGAATTATGTCCTTGGCCTCAGGTAATAGCAAGAGATGAACTAGGGAAGGAAGAAGGTGCTTTTCTAGGATCTGATTGTGGCATCATCTGTTCCCAATAAGCATGCTTATGCAGAGAGAAGGTTCTGAGCCTCAGCCTTAGAAGCTGGCAGCTCTAAGTGGAATGAGCTGGGCGTGGAATAGGAGGATGTCAGCTTGAATCTGGCCTCTGCCATGTATTAAATCATAGCATTTTGGGCAAGGTTTCCTCATCTATCACAGGAGAATACTCATGCGTACATCATAGATTGTTTGGGGAATTAGGAAATTGTATATTGTACTCAGCCCTGTGGCCAGCCTGAGGAAATTGGAGGCCAATTCCAATTTCTTTGGAAATTGGAGCCTGAAGAGAGTTTGGCTGATTTGACATCAGTAATACTAACTCTGTGGGAGTGTTAATAGGCACCTCTAGAAAAAAGAATTCTGTGGTCAAATACGGTTAGGAAACTGAATTAAAGTTTCTCTTTGGTAGGACTTCTGAGAGCCTTAAATATGTGAATGTGCATTATAGGCAGAGGTGACCAGTTTGTCTGGACTGTTGATGTTTAAGCAAGAAGGGAAGATGTGCCTACTGATCTTCTAAGGGACAGACTGACTACACAGGCTTCCCTCGACCACTCTGGCCGAGCCTGTGTGCAGGTGTGTAGAGCACCCACAGGAGGTATGTGGGGCCCAGCCCATGTGACTCCACAGCTGTCCTGCTTCCTTTCAGCTTCCTTCACAGCCTCTCGCTCTCTAGGCCTGGCCTCTTTTGCCCTTTCTCAGTTCACTGCAAGGGAGAACAGGTTGGGAAAGGACTGGGAATGGGGAAGGGAAGGTGGCAGGGAAAGAGTGATGCAGGGCAGTAGGTCATCTCTGAAACAGAGTGAAGGAGCTGTCTTTTTGCACAGGTTGCAGAGAGGTACTAGGTTAGCCTGTTCTGTTCCCAGCGACTTAAAAGTTTATCTGGGGCAGCTATTTTATTTGAGAAAGGAATCTGGAGGAAGAAACAGGCCCAGAAGTTAAGTGGCCTGCCCAGAGTCACAGGGCGGGGCCAGGAGTCCTCCTGAGAGCCCGTACATCCACATACATCTTTGCACACTTTTACATTCAGAAAGGAAGGCCACTCTGTGTTAGAGGCAGTGCTCAGGAGACCTGCATGGTGGTTGAATCCTGGGGGAGACTATCCCCCATTTCTGCTCCATCCTTGGAACCTAGATGGTCTGATCCTTTGAGGTGAGAATGGAGAGCGATGGAGGAGTCAGGAGATAGAGAGGATTATCACTGTAATAAGGGCATCTCCCTTTACCAGTTTTATGATGTGGGCAAGATACCCAACTTGCCTGTGCCTCAGTCTCCTCTTCTATAAAAGAGGATGACAGAAGCAACCAACCTGAGAGCATTGTTTTTAGGAGTCAGTGTTGAACAGTGGTGTGAACAGTGCCTGGCAGATTTAGAATTCATAAATGTCATCTATCACTATGTGGCTGAGACCCAGGATAGTGAAGGCAGGTGAGAATGGGGGTTGTTGCACATCAGCTAAAAGCCCAAGGACTACCCCACTATAAAGGCTTAGCTTTCAGCAGAAACACAAGATTTCAGGCAGCGATATGGCCTTGTTTCTTCTTCATCCTTAAAGCCCCAGTTCACAGCTCTGGGACACAGTTGATGCTTAAGAAATGTGCACTGCCTGCCGAGGGCTGCCAGGGGCTGGGCGTTTGGACTTTCCCAGAAGCACAGTGGGTCCCTCTCTAGTCCAGGCGCTGGTGAGAAGGTGAAACATGGTATTCTCAGGGCAAGTCCCAAGGCAGGGATGGAGATAAGGGAGTGTGAGCTGTTCCTTGAGGAGAGAAAGCAGATGTCTCATGCTCCCTTGAAGGCTGCCCATCAGGAGCCCCTAAAAAAATGGTTTAACCTCAACCAATAAACTAAATCCATCAGAAGAGACTCAAAACAGAGCTAAGCCCCCAGACCTACTCTGCCACCACCTCCCTGCCACGTGAGAGGTGATGGGAGTAGAACAGGGGTGCTGAGGCAAGTTGTGCAACTCAAGTTCCCTTTGATTTTGTCATTGCTGTTGATTGCCAAGCCCTGGACTCTACCTCCCCTGCGTGGGGCATGTGCCTTGATAGCGTGGGACACAGGAGTGTCCCTGTGCCCCCTCCCCAGGACACAGCCAGGTAGGCATTAAGGACATACCACATTCTGCACAGCGAGGCCTTACACAGGCCCACTGGGTTCAGCTGAGCTGTGTGTGCCAGGCTGCTTCTCTCCCGCTTCTGCTGCTTGTGTATATTTGCAGGGAAGATGTTAACACTTCCTAACAAGCCTTTGTGTTCATCTAATCTCTGCTGTTTAACCTTTGACTCCCTCCCTATTATCAGTGTCTGCCACCTTTGCTGGCCAGACCAAGGGCCCCAGGAAGAGCCCTCAGCCTGGGCTGGCTAGGAGGAGGATGAGGCCGACATTCCACCCCGGTCTGCAGGCAGATGGATCGCCTTTCCCTGGGGCAGAGCTTTGGAAAATAAAGCAAACTTGTGGTGCCATTAGGATCCCCCAACCCCCACTCCTTTTGAACTGTCAGCCTTTAAGTAAACATTCTTTTCCTGCCATGGGTCCCAGCACCTTGGCGGGAAGTGAGGAACCTGGGAGGAGAGGGGGCCCTGAGAGTCTTCACTGAACAAGGGATTTCGGCAGGGAGAACAGGGCAGAAATGCTGCCTTGATGTCAACTCTGAGTCCCCAGGGCATCAGGGCCTTTGAAGTGGACTGGGGGGAGCTGCCATAAGGACCAGGCCCCTCTGAAGTATTAAAAACCCAACCCTCTCCAGGCCCCCACTTGCATATGTTTGTACCTGTCTGCAGTGTTCTCTGCCCAGGCCACAGCCTCGTGCAGCACTGATGCCATGCCCGGGTGACAGGTCTGGCAGCCACCAGCCAGAGCCTAGGCCACACTTCCACCAAGGAAGATGCCAGATGGGCCTGTTGCTAGAGATGAGGAGGCCATTCTTTGTGCTCCAATGTAATAATCTCCAGACCAGGATTGGGGAACTTTAATCTGACCCTACTAACTGGCTGTGAAACCAGGCAGGATAGTTCACCTCTTTGAGCCCAAGTTTCCTCTCTGGTAAAGGAGGTCAAATTTCCTGCAAAGTCCAGTTGCAGACATTATGAGTTTGATGTTGCTATCTGGGTGGTTGTTTTTGTTTAATTTTGGCTGCACTGCTCCACATTTGGGATCTTAGTTCCCTGACCAGGGATCAAACCTGCACCCCCTGTATTGGAGGCACGCAGTCTTTTTTTTTTTTTTTTTAACTTTTTTTTTTTTCATTTATTTTTATTAGTTGGAGGCTAATTTCTTTACAATATTGTAGTGGTTTTTGTCATATATTGACATGAATCAACCATGGATTTACATGTATTCTCCATCCCGATCCCCCCTCCCACCTCCCGCTCTACCTGATCCCTCTGGGTCATCCCAGTGCACCAGGCCCGAGCACTTGTCTCATGCACCCCACCTGGGCTGGTGATCTGTTTCACCCTAGATAATATACATGTTTCGATGCTGTTCTCTCGAAACATCCCACCCTCGCCTTCTCCCACAGAGTCCAAAAGTCTGTTCTGTACATGTGTGTCTCTTTTTCTGTTTTGCATATAGGGTTATCATTACCATCTTTCTAAATTCCATATACATGTGTTAGTATACTGTATTGGTCTTTATCTTTCTGGCTTACTTCACTCTGTATAATGGGCTCCAGTTTCATCCATCTCATTAGAACTGATTTAAATGAATTCTTTTTAATGGCTGAGTAACACTCCAGGGTGTATATGTACCACAGCTTCCTTATCCATTCATCTGCTGATGGACATCTAGGTTGCTTCCATGTCCTGGCTATTATAAACAGTGCTGTGATGAACATTGGGGTACACGTGTCTCTTTCAGATCTGGTTTCCTCGGTGTGTATGCCCAGAAGTGGGATTGCTGGGTCATATGGCAGTTCTATTTCCAGTTTTTTAAGAAATCTCCACACTGTTCTCCATAGCAGCTGTACTAGTTTGCATTCCCACCAACAGTGTAAGAGGGTTCCCTTTTCTCCACACCCTCTCCAGCATTTATTGCTTGTAGACTTTTGGATAGCAGCCATTCTGACTGGCGTGTAATGGTACCTCATTGTGGTTTTGATTTGCATTTCTCTGATAATGAGTGATGTTGAGCATCTTTGCATGTGTTTGTTAGCCATCTGTATGTCTTCTTTGGAGAAATGTCTGTTTAGTTCTTTGGCCCATTTTTTGATTGGGTCATTTATTTTTCTGGAATTGAGCTGCCGGAGTTGCCTGTATATTTTTGAGATTAATCCTTTGTCTGTTGCTTTGTTTGCTGTTATTTTCTCCCAATCTGAGGGCTGTCTTTTCACCTTGCTTATAGTTTCCTCTGTTGGAGGCACACAGTCTTAACTACTAAACTGCCAAGTAAGTCCCAGGGTTCCCCCCACCCCCCGACTAAAGGGATCATTCATGGCAAATAGATGGGGAAACAGTGGCTGACTTTATTTTGGGGGCCTCCAAAATCACTGCAGATGGTGACTGCAGCTATGAAGTTAAAAGACACTTACTTCTTGAAAGGAAAGTTATAACCAACCTAGACAGCATATTAAAAAGCAGAGACATTACTTTGTCAACAAAGGTCCATCTAGTCAAGGCTATAGTTTTCCCAGTAGTCATGTATGGATGTGAGAATTGGACTATAAAGACAGCTTAGTGCAGAAGAATTGATGCTTTTGAACTGTGGTGTTGGAGAAGACTCTTGAGAGTCCCTTGGACTGCAAGAAGATCCAACCAGTCCATCCTAAAGGAGATCAGTCCTGAATATTCATTGGAAGGACTGATGCTGAAGCTGAAACTCCAATACTTTGGCCACCTGATGCGAAGAGCTGACTCATTGGAAAAGACCCTGATGCTGGGAAAGAGTGAAGGCAGAAGGAGAAGGGGAGGACAGAGGATGAGATGGTTGGATGGCATCACTGACTCAATGGACATGGGTTTGGGTGGACTCTGGCAGTTGGTGATGGACAGGGAGGCCTGGCGTGCTGCGGTTCGTGGGGTTGCAAAGAGTTGGACATGACTGAGTGACTGAACTGAAAGGGATCATTGATCTCTGGACTGGCACCTGCAGATGAGGGGAACCAAGTGTGATATGTGAAAATGTAGTGGGGTCTTATGATTAGCAAAGTAGGCCAGAGCCCCAGAGATCTGGCTTCTGTGATGAGTCACATGGCTTATTCTCTTAGGGAGATTTCTCCTTGTGGATTAACTTCCCTCTCTGGCCTGGAAGTGGAGTCAGGCTAACGCTAAAAGAGGGAGAGGGCCTCGGTAAAGTGCCATGTAAGTGCCAACTGGCAGTCCCCAGCTCTGGAGGACAGCCCTAGATGTCCTTATTCTGTTCCTTGTTTGTAGACATATGCTGTTTTCTTGGGGTGCTGAGGAGGTAGGGCTTGCCTGATCCAGTTGTGTTTCCCAGGAGGCTTCTTCCACGTGTCTTTGGGATTGTTGAACTTGAAATATGAGTCACTCTAACCCCTGGTCTAATCAAGGAATTATGACTGGCCAGAAGGCCTTTCGTTCTCTTCTTTCCAGGGTCACTAAGCTCTAAAATACTGGCCTTCTAACTGGCTTCTTTGGCTGTGGGGTGGGGGGGACTGTATAGAAGCTTGGCATTAGAGGGCCTGATGCCCATCTATGGGGGTCCCCATGTTGGGTGTTCTCATGGTCTCTTGGTGTCCCCACAGATACTACAAGAAGTTCTCCATTCCTGACCTAGAAAGATACCAGCTACCTCTGGATGAATCCTCGCTGAGCTTTGCTCACGCCAACTCCACTCTCATTATCTCTGTAAGATTTGTTCAGACTTCTTGGCCACTGTGTCAGGGAAAGGCTCCTTCTTTCCCTGCCCACTTCTCATCTTACTCAGTTTCAGTCCCAACAACTCCTGGGGTATGCTTGCTAGGGAACAGGCCTCTCCAACAGAATGGGATGAGCAGGCGAGGGCTCAGGAGACTGATTTTAAAATCACAGCTGGAACTGGGTAGAGGGTGATGGGGAGGGGTGAGATCTACAGAACTGAGGCTCTAGAAGGTCCAAAAGCCTACCTCTACCCCCACGTGACCTTAAGCAAATCACTCAACCTTGTAGGCCTCAATTTCCTCGTCTTTGAATAAAGGGGAACAGAAGGAGGACTTCCCTGGTGGGCCAGTGGTTAAGAATTTGCCTTCCAATGCGGGGGGCATGGATTCAGTCCCTGGTTGGGGAACTAAGAACCCACATGTCTTGTGGTGTGGCCAGAAAGGGGGCCCTGAGTCTCTTGGGTGGAGGCTGTGTGTTGAAAGGGGTGATATGATTGACTCGTGTCTTCTCCTTGCTCCACCTCAGTACCAGAAGCCAAAGGAGGTCCTGGTGGCTGAGTCAGAGCTGCAGAAGGAGCTGAAGAAGGTGAAGACAGCCCACAGCAGTGATGGCGACTGCAAGACTCAGTAGCTGACGCCTGAGCCTGACTTCTGACACTAAGGGTGGGTGAGGCTTTTCCTGTAGGCCTGTGAGGCTTCGGGCTTGGGCCTTTCTGGCACAGGGGCAGCCTCTCTTCTCCCAGGATCTGTCTAGCTTTTGTAAGAACTGGGCCTCAGGGCATTCCTGGCCCCCAGGTCGTGGTCTTCCCTCCTGAGTAAAGTAATTCTGAGTCACTGTGTGTGTACTGCCCCCTCGTCCTCCGCTGGTCCTTCTGCCCCCAGGAAGGGGGCTGGTGATGACATTTCCTTCTTTGCTAGCCTCTGGACCTTCAATGTAGAGCCTTCCACATTAAAGGTATGGGTCTTAGATGGAGAGGAGGATCAGGGAAGCCTGACCCCAGCAGGGCAGGGCCCCAACCTGTTTGCAGCCCAGGATATTAAGACACTGTGGGCATAAAGTCAGCATAAGGCTTGCAGAGCACTGGAGTGGGGTGAAGGAGGTCACTGCAGGCCAACAGGCACCAGGAGCCTTTCCAGGACCCCTACCATAACCCACAAGTGACACCCACCCCACCACCAGGGCCAAAGGGGTAGAGGGGTAATGAAAGGTCTTCCTGGAGAAAAGAAACCTTTGTTCTTTTGGACACTGAGCCATGAGGCTGGTCTCACCCTTCAGTAGCGTGCCCAGCCCCAAGTTTGAGTCTATCCTTCTATTCCTTCTCCCTGTGGTCTTGCTAACCAGTAAGGAACCAGATCGGTGAACAGTCAAAACTTTATTTTTACAAAAATGTACATTGTAACATGTCTCAACAGCTAGCCTGAGGCCTGAGGTTGGGCTGGCTCAGAATTCAGAATTTTGGGATTGCCTTTGTCCTTTCTTGGTTTCGAAGCAAGACCAGGCCGTAGGACTCCAGCCGAAGACCTTGGTCAAAGGTGGGGGTCTGACTGATGTGGAGGCTGGTACCACAGGGTACTGGCAGCCTCCCCGCTCCTTCTAGGGAAGGGGCCACCTGGGAAGCCTGGAGCACCTCACCTCACACTTGTGCTGAGCTGGCCTGGCTCTAAGAAAGTGTGGGCCTCTCCAGGCCAGATTCTTGCTCTGGCCAACAGGGGAGCAAGGCCCAGCTGAGTTCAGCTGAGAAGCAGTAGGTCCCATCTCTCCAACTGTTTCCTGGGAGAGACTGCACCCCTGGGTAGCCCCAGTGCCCAGGAGTCAGCAGCCTTTATCTTAGGTGCCTGAGCACCATGGTCACAGGTCTAGGAACACAAGGAGGCCAGGGAGGAGGTATCACTGAACCCTCCAGGCAGGAGAAGTCCCTGAGTAGCTGGCTTCCCTGGCCCACAGGCTAGGTTGGCCTGTCATGGGTTTTGAAAGTCCAGGACATGGAGGTTGTAGGACAGTGCAGCATAGAGGTGTCTGGTTGTGAAGCGCAGGCAGTACACAGGACTGCTGAGGGGTGTCGACGTCAGTGGGAAGGCCTGCAGGGGAAGGACAAAAGTGGCAAAAGTATCCCCACTGGGAGCTGGGGGAGCCCGAATGCAGGATTCCCAGGCCTGGTGCCAAGGGACAGGGGCCACTCTAGGCTTCCTCCCGCCCTCTCCAGGCGCGCCCACTCCCAGTATGGACCCTGGAAACGAGCCCTGGCATCCACGAGGCCTGCCTGCGGTGGGCAGGACACTTACATGGAGGCAGGCCCTTTGGCGGCGGTCCCACAGTCGCACAACACCATAGTAGGAGGAGCCAGTGGCCAGCAGGTGGTTCCCATCCGTCTGTAGGCAGTACAGGGTGCTGTCGTGGGGCTCCTCCCACTCCATGACACACTTCCTGTCCAGGAGGAGGTGATGCAGGGGATGTCTGGGGGTGGCCTCCACCTCCACCCCAGCTTCCCCAGAGGCCTTAGGAAGCCATTCTGGTTGGGAGAAAGATGCCAAACCACCACATTCCTTTAAAACCACACTTAATGGGGGAAAGCCGCCTCAGTAAAGATCTCTTTCTCACCAAGGCCCTGACCCCAGGCAGGCTTATGCCTTATTTGTGCATCACGTGGCTGCTGTGTGTCACCAGATTTCAGAGGCAAGGAAGGCCTCAAGAAAGCTAGGACAGAACGCTGAAGGACAGCACCCTGTTGGCTCCCAAGGCTCTTACTGGGGCCTGGTGGCTACAGTCTCCTGGGCCACGGGAGCAGGGCTGCTGAGGTGGAGAGTCTTAAGCTTGCTCTGACCTTGCTGGCTGCTCTCCCAGCCCCTGCTATGGGGTCTCTGTCCCTCTCCTTGGGGCGCCAGGATGGGGGCAGGCTTCCCACCACCTGTTGTCCTGCCCTGCACACTCACCGGGTACTGGCTCGGAGGTCCCAGTAGCGAACATATGTGTCGTAGCCACAGGACAGGAGCGTGGACGGGGACTCGTACATGACGTCCAGCACCCCAGCCCCTGGGGGAAAGTCACTGCCCAGGTGCGTCATCAGCTGCCCACTGGGAAGAGAGGCGGGGCAGGGGATGAGAGGTTGTCCTGCCTTGGCCCACACACATGCTTTTAACCTTCAAGTGGCATCAGTCCCTGGGCTCCTTCCTGAGGCAGAATTAAGACCCTCGTAGGAAGGGGGCCAAAGGAGGAGATGCCCTGGACTTCCAGCCCTCTCCCCTGTTCCCAGCCCCTGCCCCTCCCCCCCAGCTGAGGCCTCAGTCAGCCACCAGCCTCTCCATCACACCTGCATGCTGGCTACCCGCCACCCAGCCACTCCTCCCGGGACGATGAATGGGCCTTGCCGAAGGGGTCGGCCCCCCTCACACAAACACACATTTGGTTACTTTATACGCCTTGATCCTGCAGGTCATGCAGTTCTGAGCTGCCTGAGTCCAATGCCTTAATTCCTGCCTGTAATCTGGGGCTCAAACCTCATTGGGGATAAAGACCACACAGAGGGAGAAGGGGAGTCCCAGGAGATGTTAAAACAAGCAAACACCTTTGTGTCTGGGGAGAGAAATCGCTGAGAAAGCAGCTTAGCAGGCTGGTCCCTGGTGTTCCTGGCCCGGCTGGCCCCCGGCCTGGGGCTAGCACGCCTCTGTGATCACAGCCCCCAGCCTGCTGGGCTCCAGCCTGCCCCCTCGCCCCTCCCGGTGGCCGAGAGCAGATTACCGAGAAGAACAATTTCTTTGTGACTGTGTAATTCCCTCCGTGACCGCGGCAGTGGGCAGACCCCTCGCCCTGATGCCAGACCCCTAGCAACCACCTAGGGGGGCCTCCTGGCCCTAGCAACTACCCCTCAACATCAAGTATACCCGCTAATCCCTGTGGCTATGGGATGGGTAGAAGCGGTGAGTTTCTTCAGAATGAGGGGAATAAAGAAGGGGGCATGCTCCAGGCCCAACCCCTCAGCTTCACTCAGGACATGCTGGGCTCTCCTGCATGGCGTGACAGGAAAAACTGGGCCGTGGACACTACACAGGGACACCCAAGTAAGAGGCCCTGGCATGGGGTGGGGAAGACTTTGTGGTCTCACCAGCCCAGCCTTGGCCAACCAGGTTGCACCAAAGCGGCCACGAGCCACATGCGTGAATGTGGGCCTTAACTCCGGTCCTTCCTCCTCACAGACCCAAACCCTCAACCTCCCTTCTCCTCAGTGGAGCCGCTACCTTCCCTGAAGGAGGAAAGGAGGCGGCCGCAGGTTCTTTTCTGCCCAACTCTGCCTTTCCCTGTGAGCACTGGGTGGTGAGGGGACCCCCAGCAAGCAGCACTATTGCTGTCCAGTCAGGGCAGGGTGGGGGTAGGCCCTAAGTTGGCACTTCTGCCCCCAGCCTCCTTCCCAGGGAAGTGCTCTTCCTTTCTGTGTGCTGAGGGCTCAGATAGAAAGCCTTCTCCCCACGTCAGCATCTCCTAGAGATCACTGACCTCAGTGCCCAAGCAGGCCCACCAGCCATGATTCCACTCCTGGGCAGGTCAGAGGGGCTGGGGTCATATTCTTTCTGTCTCTTGTTGTCCACTGGGTCTGGGCTGTTTTGCTCCACAGTTCTCCCTCCCAGATTTGGGGGCCCTGCCTCCTCCATTAGTGAGGCCTTCAGGAATGACTGAGGAGCTCTCCCCTTTAATCTATAGAAGTAATTTCATGTTTGTCTGTTTGAAACAGAAGATGAAAGGCAGTGGAGATTGGGGGGCGTGAAGCCCAGCATGGCTCTACCTGCCCACCCCTGGTCCCAGGGTTCAGAATGAAGGAGAGCCAGGCACCCGTGGACAGGAGGTTGGCAGCAGAATGACCACACCCATGCCAAGTTGCCAACCTGGGCCCTGCCCAGGCAGGGTGGCATCTCAGCCACCACTGGAAAGTGTCTTGCCAGCCTGTGCAATAAGAAACACATAACCCTACCCTCTGCTGCTGCTGCTGCTAAGTTGCTTCAGTCGTGTCCAACTCTGTGTGACCCCATAGACGGCAGCCCACCAAGCTCCTCCGTCCCTGGGATTCTCCAGGCAAGAGTACTGGAGTGGGTTGCCAGTTCCTTCTCCAATCCATGCATGCATGCTAAGTCACTTCAGTCGCGTCCAACTCTGTGCAACCCCATGGACAGCAGCCCACCGGGCTCCTCTGTCCACAGGATTCTCTAAGCAAGAATACTGGAGTGGAGACCCGAAGGCTGAGCGAGCACCAGCCCCCGGAGACCAGGACAAGGACTGAAAGCCCCTGTCTGCCGGCCTCCCTGAGGAGTCTCTGCCACACTAGTTCTCTGACTCCCTGAAATGGCCACACACACTTTAAATGGGCCAATAAAAAGATACGGTTTCTTTTGCCTCTGGGCCTGGGACCCTCCAGGCTCTGTTGTGCAGTACCCGTGAGGTTAAGTTCAGAGCATAAACTGACACACCAGGCTCTGGGAAATGGCCCTGTCTCTTCAAATAGCAGCTCAGCGGTGCCATAGAAGCCCTGCTGGGGCTTTGATTTGGGAAAACAAACAGAAATGGCACCGTGGGCCCTTCGTGGCCCCCACCACAGGACCAATTTAACTAGAAAACTCGAGCTCAACCGCTCTGGTGGAGGAAGCAAGATGAGCACCACAATAGCCCCAAACTTTGGGGGGAAGGGGGACAAAACAAGCTGTCTGTCTCCTGGGCCCCTCCTCCCGGGCTCCTTTTCTTACTGCAAGTGTGTTCTTGTAAAAACGATTAGATTGCAATTTGTATAACGTGGTGACCCCCAAATTCAGACGTTTCACCCCTTTTCTCTGGAAAGAATGTTAAGAATGCCTCTCGGCCTCTCACTGTGGGGGGTGTGAGGGAGGGGTGCAGAGCCTTGGCTGTCGCACAACTTGTGTGGGAAAGGGGCTGCCGCTTAGAGCCTCAGGCCAAGACAGGAGCAAGGGCCAGGTCTGCACTATAGACGCCAGACAAAAAGTCCCTTCCCTTCCCGCTCCTGCGCACAAAGCCGGGGCTGCCAGGAGCCACTGAGGGCTGGGGGGCCTCCACCCAGCCTCCCCCTAGCCTGACTCCAGCAATTCTCTCTCGACCCAGGGAAAGATAAAGACAGATGGGGCCGCCCCTGTGAGCCTGATGAATGAGACACAGGCCGGGGAGGGCTGCCTGAAAGAGACCTGTTCCCCAGGCTGGGCTGTGTGCAGCTTCCCAGAGGAGCCCCAAAGTACCTGGGCAGGAAAAACAGCAGAGCGTGGCTGGATCCCAGACTTTGAGGTGGCGGGGCTCAGGTGAGGGTCCTACCTATCCTGCTGCCCAGGCAGCTCCACTGAAGCTAGAGGGAAGAGGGACCACAGGAACTTCCTGACAGGGAGGAGGAAATTTAAATAAGGTACTAATAGCACCCCCCCCCCCATTCTTTGCCAGGATAGCTGACTGGAAGTGGTTACTAGCCTTGAAGACCAGCTACCCTGTCCGGGAGAGGCCCTCAGCGCCAGGCCAGAGCTGGGCACAGGGAGGCGGGCTCTGGAAGCCCCCCTGCCCCAGGCTGGTTCCTGCAGGCCAGGGAAGCCAGGTGCCCTGCTTCAGTCCCTCTGTGTTCTCCCTCATCCCGCCTCTGCGCGCCTCCCTGGTGGCCCATACAAAGTCCTCCTGTGCTGACCACCCTGAGGTAGGATACCCAGGCTCTACTGCCTCACCCACACACGTAAGAATGCCCGTGGCCCCCTACACCATTTCCAGCCACTCTTAACACACTGGGTTCCTGATGCTGCTCCTTGGAGGTTCAGTTCAGTTCAGTTCATTCAGTCATGTCCGACTCTTTGCAATCCCATGGACTGCAGCATGCCAGGCCTCCCTGTCCATCGCCAACTCCCGGAATTTACTCAAACTCATGTCCATTGAGTCAGTGATGCCATCCAACCATCTCATCCTCTCTTGTCCCCTTCTCCTGCCTTCAGTCCTTCCCAGCATCAGGGTCTTTTCCAATGAGTCACTTTTTCGCATCAGGTGGCCAAAGTATTGGAGTTTAAGCTTCAGCATCAACCCTTCCAATGAATATTCAGGACTTGTCTCTTTTAGGATGGACTGGGTGGGTCTCTTTGCAGTCCAAGGGACTCTCAAGAGTCTCCTCCAATACCACAGCTCAAAAGCATCAATTCTTCGGTGCTCAGCTTTCTTTATAGTCCAACTCTCACTTCCATACACGACTATTGGAAAAACGATAACTTTGGCTAGATGGAACAAAGGTCCCTGGAGGTTCTGTGGATGTTAATTCCTGCATCTATTTGGGTGTTAGGATACACCACCCAGCATGTGCAACCACAAAAATAAAACAATGGCTTCTGAAAAGAAGGAAGAGTGACAGTCTACCTTCTTACATCTTCACTTCCCCTGAAGGTGTAATATAAGCTGGGCCTAACATGATCACTGAGAAAACAGGGCAGTGTGCCCTCCTTTCTTGCCACGCTCTCCTTCCTTTTCTTCCTTTCTTTGATCAATAGTCATTTACTAAGCACCTTCTGTACACAAGTCATTGTGCCTAATGGAGACTGCAGGGAGACGTGAGCTGAGGCTTGGACAGGGAGGGACATGGTCCCTTCCTCCATGGAGGGAAAGAAGTCTCATCTACCCGACTGACAATACAAGGGGTGGCTTGGTTGGTACCAGAAGAGAGATAGTAAAAACTGAGTTTACTAAGGGGACAGATAAAAGGACATTTCTGCAGTGAGTGACCGGCAGGGACAGAAGATGGGAGATGGAACAGGTGAAGGATCAACAACTGCAGAGGCGCAGGGCAGGGCCACCTTCTTTGGCTAGAGGTGTGGGTATGTGAAGGGAATAAGCTGACCACCACGGGCCTCCAGGTGCTCACTGCTGGAGGCGTGAGGGGCAGGAGTGGGTGTCCTTGTCCAGCCCTCTGGTGAGGAGGGTGAGAGACTTGAGGAGGCAACCTCAGTTCTGTAACCGAGGTTCCAGATAGAACCATGGAGACCAGGAGAAGCCCACTAAGGCTTCGCCTGCCCCAGCCCTGTCCAGTGAGCGGGAAGGGCCCTTTCCAAGCACAGGCCCCTCACATGCATGTGTGTGCGCGTGCACAGCTCCAGCACTCGCCTGCACACACGTGTTCAGACACAATGGCTCAAAGGCCAGGCAGCCAGGCAGCCCACTTTGTACTGCTAACAAGAGGACCGTAATTACAGGAAGGGGCAGCCGAGCAGATAAAAGGATACAAAATTTCAACATCTGTTGCCATAAAGGGATAAGGAGAAGTGAAACGCAAAGTATCAGTTTGGTGTCAGCAGGCAGAGAGCCAATTTCAAAGAGTTCAGGGGGACAGAGGGGACAAGAAAGAAAAAGGAAAGGGGTGGGGGAAGAAAGAAAGAAAGAGAAAGAAATTACAGGGTTCCTTAAAGAGGTAAAGAAAAAAGAAAATGAAAAAAGCTGTCAGTAATACTTTCAAAGGAGAAGGCACATACTTAAAGAGGGGCAATTCCCATAATCACCCTGACTGAGGACCAGGCCCCCTGCCCCAGGTGGAGGGTCAGGGGCAGAGACAAAGCCACACCTGGGTGGGATGGGCACCAACGGTGCCCTCAGAGTGGCCCAGCCTTCAGTCAGGACCCGTTTTTTCTGCAGACAGAAAGGGGTGTAGCCGGGCACCCTTCGTCATTCCAGTGCTGTAGGATGTCGTGATGTGTATCTCCCATGTTCAGTCCAGGGTTCCAAGATAAGTTCCAGGCCACATGGTGGCCAACAGGGTGGCCCTATGAATGCTCTAAGGGTCACCATCTTGAGCCACAGGGGTGAGGATCAGGGAGTGCCTCGTGGTAGAGGTCTATTCATACTAAAGAATGAGCAGGATTTCAGTAGGCAGAGAGGGGGTATTTCAGGCACAGGGGTGAGGTAGTAGAGCAAAAGCCCAACAGAAAAATATATGGTGTCTATCAGAATATGTGAGAAGCTTCTCTGCCCCTGCCTCTGTTGAGAAAGAGGAAACTTCGGGGCTTTGGGATGGAAATGGAGGAGTCATGGGGCACCAGGGATGATGCTGGCCAGAAGGGGAAGGGGAGATGAGATGGGATTATGCAGGGGCGTGAGTCATACACATACAGGGCAGAGCACTACCTAGACGAGGACCCAAACCCTCAATACCCTAGGAGGAGCCAAGTCACCAAAACCCACCCCTCCTTTCTTCCTTGCCCAGCAGTCCCTGGCTGGCTTGGAGCTACAGCTGGCCCCCTGGGAAATCTCCAGAGCTGAGTGAGACCACAGGCCTCTCCATCCTGGTGCCCACGTCCCCACTGCCTTATCTCAGGGCACCAAGGCTAGATCCAGCTCAAACACACCTTGGTAAGAGCAGAGCCAGGGGAAGATCTGTGTGTGATGTCAGGCCAGTCAGATGTCAGGCCAGTCAGAACCCCCACCCACCCACAGGGTCTTCAGCAGCAGGAGGTGTGCCCCACACAGACACCACCATTCCTGGGGCAGAGCCAAGGGCCCTGAGCAAATGCAGACAGAGAACACTAGATGGGCCTTCATTCCTACAGACCCAAGGTCAGAAACAGGATGGCAGTTCTGCAGGGCCTAACTAGGGATACCTCAGTGGTGGGTGAGTGGCAGGGCCAAGATAGAGCCCTTGGGGGCCAGAGATGGCCTGAACACCATCAACCCTTGGAAACAGGAACACTCTAGCACATCCAAACTGGGGGAAGGACTCATCTTTTTTCCCATCTGGTTTACACAGATTAGAAATCCCCTGCTGCTGGGCCCAGCCCATGGTCCACAGCTCTGAGAGAGAGGCAGAAGAAGAGTGGGGGACAGCCAAGCTCCCTGCCATCTGGGCAATGTCTTGGTGCCCACGGCTGCTCTCAGACCAGTGTACTCCAGCTAGCACCTTGCTTCCTCGCACCCCCCCAGAGGGAGAACAGAGGTTCTAGGAATCTTGAGGCACAGAGGGCTTGAGGGAGCCATGATGACCTTGAAAGAGGTCCTCAGACACTGAAAAGCAGCCTAGGCTGCCTAAGGACCCATACCTGAGACACAGACGGAGGGCGCACTGGTGCCCAGCAGGTGCCTACACCTCTGAGGTGTGTCCCAGCCCCCACCACCACCCTGAGGGCAGCCTCTGGAGGGGCCATGCTCAGAGCAAAACTGCCCTTCAGTGCTCCTCCCCCCAGGCTGAGCACACACATAAAAGAAAATCCCGGCCCTCCTCAGGTTTCAGCGGTGACAGGTTAAAAGCAAAGAATCCACCCAGCACTGAGCACCGCCCCGCCAGTGAGTCCTGCCTGCGATGCTGCTCCACCTTCCAGATTGGCCTGTCAGTCAGGCTTTGGCGTTATTGAAAGATCAAACTCTGTCCTGCCTGTTCATTACCTTAATCCTATTTTCTACATGGCTTTATTATCTGCTTGGGCTTCTTTGGGAAAGACAGCTACAGACAGTCGTCCTGTCCATCCGTTTCCTCCCACCAAAAGTGGATGCCTCCATCAGGGCATCTTCCCCCTCAGTCCCTGCACCACTGGTCCTCAAGCTTCCCTGAGGACAGAAGAGGTGTTTAAGTGAGGCCTGGCTCCTCGGTGGTGAGGAGAGGAGTCTGGGAGCCAGAGAGCAGGCAGGTGAAGCCAAGCAATGCCCAGGGCAGCCTTGCCTCAGGCTGGTCAGAGGGTGCAGTGGCTATTTGTTCTCTGGCTCCAGTGAGAACTGAGGCCATAGCTGTCTTGTACTCATTGTCACTTGGGTCCTTTCTGGATTCTATAAAGGCCAGTGTTTAGTGTTAGTGAGGTCTAGAGGTTTCACAAGAGAATGCTGTTGAAGGAGCTGGTGCCTTAGAGCTCCATTCTGACCACTAATCTGTGCCCCAACATACCCTAACCAAGGCAACCACAGGCAGAAGAGGCCATTCAAAGGTTACTCAGCCTTCAAGATACAGCTGGACCACAGTGGAGTGGTGCACACCCTCACTGCCGCAGCTTGTCTGCCATCCCAGGCCTGGGTCAGTATTGATGCCAAGCATACCCAACAATGTGACTTAAATAAAACTGACTTTCAGCAGAAATGCCTATCTCTGTGACCTCATCAGTGAAAAAGCAAACTATCTAATTAGAAATAGGCAAACATGAGCAGACATTTCACCAAAGAGAATATATAGAAGGCAAATAAGCACATGAAAAGATGTTCAACATCATTAGCTACTAGGGAAATTTGAATCAAAACCACAAATAACACATCCATTAAAATAAATAAGAAATAGTGACACTACCAGATGCTGTTGAAAATGTGCAGAAACTAGATCTCTCAGACACTGGAGTCAGAATATAAAGTGGTAAGATACTGAAAATAGACTGGCAAGTAAAAAAAACTAAGCACACACTTACCAAATGACCCAGCAATTGTATTCCCAGGTAGTAATTCAAAAAAACTGAGAATGTGTGCCCACACAAAAGCCTATACATAAATGTCTCAATAGCCTGATCCTCAACAGTCAAAAAACAGAACCGCCCAATTGTTCTTCAATGGGTGAATGCTGATTGATGGGGAAAGAAACTTTGGTATATCCATACCAGAGAATACTACTGAGCAAGAAGGAAGAAAGCACTACTGACACACGCAACAACTTCTGTGACTCTCAAGGGAATTATGCAGCATAAAGGAAAAAACCTCCAAAGATTACATATTACATATATACTACATATATTAGTTCATTTATATAATACCTTCAAAATAACAAAATCATAGAGATGAAGAACACCTAAGTGGTTGCCAGGGGTTAGGAGCAAGAAGGTGGGGCGGAGGATGGGTGCAGCTATAAATGTGTACAGGAAGGGTCTTTGTGCTGATGGAACAGCACAGTTCTGTATCTTTATTGTGGCAGTAGTTACATGATTCTACACATGGGATAAAACTGCAAAGAAATTTATACACACAAAATAAGTATAATCAGATAAAGGTCTGTGGACTGTACCAACTGTACCTACCAACTTACTAGGTTTGATATTATGTAAGATGTTACACAGGTACCTTGCCTTCCTACTTTTGTAACTTCCTATTAATCTATAATTATGTCAAATGAAATGTTTAAAAAAAAAACAACACAGAATAGCAGGTAATCAGATGGGAATATGTCAAGCCTGCCAAGGCAGAGAACTGTAAATAAAACCTGGGTGTATTTTAACTGTTCTGTATTGTTCTTCTTAGGGATCTGTGGGCACTTCCAAAATTAATTTATTTTAGAAAAATCATCTCTGAGGACAGATAAAATTTTTTATAGCCACATAGGCACTCCTTAGAGAAGAAGTATCATAAATCCAAATCATTATCATAAGTTCTACATGAAATTATGTACCTATTATAAATTACTTCAACAGTTTCCATAAGCTAACAATTGATCCTATGTGAGAAGGTGAACAGTGGAGCCTGTTGGGTTGTGGGGCAGGGTCCTTCCAACCTCCTCCTGGACCACTCGGGCAACTGAAATGGGCTGGCTTGGGCAGCTCTTTCCTTGGCCTCCCAGCTGCTCCAGCCCCACCCACCCTGGAAGCCATGGTGGGCTCAGGAATCTCTTACCTGTTGAGGTCCCAGATTCTTAAGGGTGAGAAGTGCCCACAACAAGCCGTCCCTGTCACAAAGGAGCTGCCAAACAAAAGAAGAGCAGAGTCAGGTCTGGCCTGTTAGAACTTGTGGTGGAAATGGCTACACAATTGGAAGTGCTGTGCTCATTCTCCAGGGGACCATGGGGTTAAGCCAGGATGAGAGAAGCAGCCAGGAGAGCCATCAGAAAAGTTGTGGGAAACCATATGGAATCAGAGTGAGGGTTGTAACCTCCCAGAGCTGCTTGGCCAGAGGACCCACGGGTTCAATGGCAGCTGAGTTTGCTGCTCAGACCTGGTTGGGTGGTCTCTGCCCACCATAAGAATGGATCTCTAGATGTGCAACTGAAGTCAAGGGAAAGCAAGCCTGTTGGTCTTCAGTTGTATGAACACCAACTTCACGATGCCACACTACAATAATAGTCTCCCTATAACAGGTTGTTGGGCACTGGAAGCTGATGCCCTGGTCAGAGGTGAGGGAGGCTGGGCAGCTTTACTGAAGGTTTTGGGGAATATGGTAACATGATACAAGCACAGGACAGGTATAAAGGCACCAAAGTGAGAAAAGGCAAATGATGAAAGGTAGGTAATGCCATGAAAAGGTGAGGGTGGGAAAGCAGGGAATGTGAGGGCCTAGGCAGTCAGGACTGCTGTGGGAGTGAGATGAAAGTCAGAATTTAGAGGACAATGACAGACACTGCCAAGAGGCAAGAGAGAAGGAACACTCTGACCATATTGCCCATATTTAAGAGCCTCTCTTAAACCCCTAAAAAGTTCAACATATATAATCTGCAGTTTCATTTTAAGTGGAGGCCCAAACCCAGTGAGAAGAATCCATTCAATGAGCCAGGCTGGCCACAGTACTAGGACTAGAACTTGAACCCATGTGCCAGACCACTTCTTTGTCAGAGGATTTGGAGGGTGTTGGGAGGGGGAGCCTGCAGGAACCCTGGGCTTGAAAATCTAAACTGGAACAAGAGAGCTGAAAGCAGTTATGTCACTCAGGAGCCCTGGGGCAGGGAAGGGCCATGTCCCTACATGTCTGGGCTTGGGGGAGGAACTGGACATATTAATGACATGTTAGCACTGTGGGGCAGCAGCCTATCGGCCCTGGCCCTGCCCAGCACCTGTGGCTCTCTGATCCCAAGCATGTCAGTGGGGAGATGGATTTCCACAGTTGGGGCTCTGAGAAGCTGATGGCTTTGGCTTAGTGGGGGGTTGGCCTGCTAGTTGCTGATAGAGGAGATGTTAGGGCAGGCACTGGGCAAGCCACTGATTTACAATCAAAATTGCAGGGCAGGGATTTGTGTTTCAACCCTGGGCAGACAAAAAGGCCACATAAACCACCCTGGAGCATCCATGCCTGAAATCAAGACTTCTCTAGGGACATGATCAGTCTTCGCAGCCTCCTATCAACCCATAGGCACGCCAGTAGCCACTAAACTAGAATGGTATTTTAAAACAGTTACTCTGTCATGCTCCAAGTGACACCCAGCCTGGTATGCAGCCACTGAACACTGAAGCCCCAAACTACAAAGCCAGGAGGTATTATCCTCACTTCCCTCTCCCACCAACATTTTTCTCTTGAGGGCAATCCAGTAATAAGTGGTAAAGTTAATTACCTTGGGTTGGAAACATAATAGCCCTTAGAAATCATTCATGCAGGCAATGGGGCTCTCCAGACTTTTGAGAAGTAGGGAGCCAGGTGAGGGGCACCAGCACAGACACACAGACTCTTTAAGGAGGCCTGTGGCAGGCCTCTGACTGGCTACAGGCCTCAATTAGCATCAAGGTAAGTCAATGGAGAAAGAGGGCAGGCACCTCCACAGCTCTGACTTCCCAGAAGGGATGGGAACCCCTGCCCCTGGATTCCTGTCCTCTATTCCTGCCCACCTACCCCTGACCCTCACCCTCTGCCTCCAGGAGGAATACCTCTCACCTTCATGCCCATAAGGACCTTTCTTAATTGCCTGGATATAACATCTGTGAACATTTCTTTCCCAAAGCTGCCCTTTTCCCTTGCTTAACCATGTAAAGCAGGAAGGAGGTACAAGAGGGAGAGTAGAGAGTCCCTCTGGCATTTACGAGGGCCTAAGAATTTAATCAAATTTAACACTCAGTCAAAACAAAACAAAAACAACCATGTAAGCAGCAGTTAAACAGATTTGGAGCCAGGTCCTGCTTGGAACGTTCACCAAGACTCACATCCAAACTATGGGGACTGTCAGCCCAAGGGACAGGGACGGCCAGCCCTACTCAACAGGCAGAAGCAGGATCTGCTGGCTGCTCAGTAGCCTGACAGGCCTTCCTCTTAAGTCCTGCCACACCCTGATCTCGCCTGCATGAGACAAATGGCATTTGAGGGGCTATCTTCCCATCTTCCTTTTGAGATCATGGACTTTCTGGTGGCTCTTGTGTATTCTAGTGCCCAGCACAGTGTCTGGTACCAAAGAGATGCCCAAAACAAATCTATAGACTTCAACTGAAAGGGCCTTCCAGAGTTCACAGCCAACACAGCAGAGGAAGCTAGTCATAGCAGCTGTGAAGGGGGTCCCTCTGCTTTAGAGGATTAATCCCAAATCTCCAAGCTCAGACCTGAATAACACATGACACAGTGTTGGTACAGTGAAGTTGTACAGTGAAGCACAACCAGATAACAGATGAGAAGAAAGGAGCATGACAAGGCTATATATTGTCACTCTGTTTATTAAATTATATGCAGAGTACGTAATGCAAAATGCTGGGGTGGATGACTTACAAACTGGAATCAAGATTGCCTGCAAAAATACAAACAACCTCAGATATGCAGATGATACCACTCTAATGACAGAAAGTGAAGAGGAACTAAAGAGCCTCTTGATGAGGGTAAAAGAGGACAGTGAAAAAGCTGGCTTAAAACTTAACATTCAAAAAACTAAGTTCATGGCATCTGGTCCCACCAATTCATAACAAATAGATGGAGAAAAAGTGGAAGCAGTGACAGATTTTATTTTCTTGGACTCCAAAATCACTGCAGACAGTGATTGTAGCCATGAAATTAGAAGATGCTTGCTCCTTGGGAGGAAAGTTATGATCAACATAATAGACAGCATATTAAACATATAGACAGCATATTAAAAAGCAAAGACATCACTTTGCCAACAAAGGTCCAATATAGTCAAAGCTGTGGTTCTTCCAGTAGTCATGTATGGATTTAAGAGTTGGACCATAAAGAAGGCTGAGTGCCAAAGAATTGATGCCTTTGTTTTGTTTTGTTTTTGAATTGATGCCTTTGAATTGTGGTGTTGGAGAAAACTCTTGAGAGTTCCTTGGACTGCAAGGAGATCAAACCAGTCAATCTTAAAGGATATCAATCCTGAATATTCACTGGAAGGACTGATTCTGAAGCTGAAGCTCCAATACTTTGGCCACCTGATGTGAACAGCTGACTCAATGGAAAAGACCCTAATGCTGGGAACGATTGAAAGCAAAAGGAGAAGAGGCCGGCAGAGGATGACAGAGGTTAGATAGCATCACCAACTCAATGGACACAAATCTAAGCAAACTCCAGGAGACAGTGAAGGACAGGGAAGCCTGGCATGCTACAGTCCATGGGGTCACAAAGAGGCAGATACGACTTAGCAACTGAACAATAACATTAACCAGCAATTGTTCTCATCACTAGGAAGTGACTGAGCATTTGCTGTGTGCTAGAATCCACAAACAAATGTCTCCAAAGCACTACTCTGTCTACTCCCTCATGTCTGACAGACGGGGACACTGAGACACAGAAGTAACAGACTTGATCTTGCTCACACATGGAGCAACCAGTGGGACTAGAATTTGAACCCAGTTAGTCTTAATTCCAGAGCCCAAGTGATTTTACACCCTGTGTCCTGTAAGTTCTTTCTGCAGCACCTAGTATAATGCCTGCCACATACTGAAAACTCAAATGCTTATTGAATGAACGAATGGACAAGTGAACAAATGACTCCGCCTGGGAGAAGAAAGGAGCGATGGAGGGGCTCTGAGGAGGGGCAGCAGAAGGGCGTGCTCGGCAGCTGTGCCCCGTGGCTGGCCTGGAGCTGCCCAGCTGGCCCAGGCCCCAGCCGCCTCTGAGCTGGGCTGACACACTTTGGCAAGGGAGGCCACCAGAGCTGTCACATCATTCACCAACATGCCCATCAAGTGTATTCAGTTCTCTTCAACCCGCATTGGCATTTTAATTACTGTTGGGTAAACTAATTTGTACAAATGAAGGCTGGGCTGCCTAATAGAATATGCAAGCTCTCTGACCTCTGACAGGCACTGACACGAGATACAAAGGCCGCCGAGGAAGGCTTTTTATCTGAGCCTTATTACTCTCTATTACTCCAATTAGTCAGGCTCCAGTGCTCCTAATTGGAGGAAAAATTGCAATTAAATCAATTTTTGATGGGCTGCAAGTGGGCTCCCGAACCGCCCTGCTTGTGAAACACTGATATTATAGCAGCAAAGGTCACAGGCTTCATCGGCACCTGGGCGCCCCCCAATTTCCCTTGGCCCCCTCCTAAAACGCCTCAAGGAAACCCCTGCCCCTCCATCAGCTCGGACAGCAAGGGTGGGAAGAAGAGAGTCATTAGAACATGTCAGGTCTCATTGCTGCTGCCGCCATCTGCTAACCTGCGCCATGGACATCATTATAGCGGCTAAGTCCCAAAGCATGAATGCAGTGCGAAGGTCACACAAACTCACCGGGTGAGGCTAGGCCAGGAGCAGAAGTGCAGTGACAGCACTGTCAGGGAGGGACCAGCGGAGTGGGAACAGGAGGTCAAGAGAAGTCAGGAAGAGGAGAGACACAGTCCTGGGCAGGTGAAGGATAAGGCAGCAAGTTCCCAAGATGCAGTTAACAGGGCACCCCAGGCCACCCAAGGGGAAGGGAAATAGATGTATTTGGGAGGGAACAAAAAAGAGAGCCGAAGAAATCTTGTTCTCATCAGCAAACGTCCACCTTGCAGTAGGGGTACGTACACCTGAATGCTCTCCATAGACCAGAAGGCTGAGTGTCCCATCAGTGACGGGGTC